GATTCTCTCCCATTAATTACATTATAGAAGCTGGAGTATGAGAAAACCACAGAGCCAATTTGACGAAAGTTCCTGGATCACCTTTTGTTGAAAGTCATTCCTGCCACTATATATTAAGTATTAGAGTATCTTTATAACCATGTATTCATCTATTTTAGGACTGACACCTGGATTTGTTAAGAGATTATGGTCTGGGTTGTACAACCCAGTGTAATACAAAACAGAATATATAATAAAAGTGTGAGGAAGGGCTGAAATCTCTCATTTATTAGGTTTTTTTTAAAAAAAAAAACACCTATTTGTTTACTGATTGATTCCTGAACTTCTGAATGCTTACAGCTAGGGGAGTATATATGTATATATGTATGTATTTATGTAGTATTCAGAACAAGATTAAAACAAAACAAGAACAAAAGGGGGCTCTACAATCAATCTGCCCTGAGTCCCAAGAGAGCAATCAGATGTGAAGTAGTCTTCTGAATGTTCTAAGGGTGAGCCACACCAATTTCTGGAACAAGATCATTTCAGAGGACAGGAATTGCAGGAGAGTAGGAGTGCTTGCTGCATCTCACAAGATGACATTGTTTAACTGATGGGTGCATGCACCCCAGAGTGCATGGAACCACCCAGCTGACTCAAACTCAAGTAATCAAAAAGAATTATTCCCCAAAAATATTTTATAGATAAGTCACTTCATAAATTATAAATGCAAAAAAGTTAAAATCTTTGATATACAATATTAAATCGTTCTATGCTAGAGCTATAACTCTGAGAATAAAGCTTTAAAAATTGAGATTTGCCCAGATAATTTGCAATGATACCTGTTAGAGCAGCAGCCCCCAACTGCTACATGGACCAGCAGCAGCAATGGCACAGGATGGGGATGGTTTTGCATGCGTAACCTAGCTCCCGCACATGCGCAAATGAAGCTTTGCGCACTTCTGGGCCACTTGCGCAGACTGGTTCTCAATGGGCTGCAGCCTGGTACTGTTCCCAGACCTGAGGCTTTGGACCACTGTGTTAAAGGGCTACAGAACAAATGCCTCAGGGCTTATTTTGGTTAGAGATGATATCCCTAGGATTTTTTTGCTTGAGAATCTGAATCAAAGAAGGCCTACAGATTGTTTAATTCTCAGAATGTACCCCTGATTTTCTACACTGAATATTTATTAGAATACTGACTTCATTTGTCTATAAGCATGAAAGAACCTAAAGAGCAAGTAAATTAAATCTGTTGCTGGTCTGTCTCTTCGGTAATAGTCCCTACTGCTCAGCTGTTTTTACTCACTGCATCATATTCATGAACAAGACTTATTTGTTGACAGAGGAAGAGAGTCAAAGTAGCATCTAGGGATGAATCCTTGCAAATAAACATGAATATTTTAAACTACAATTGGACAGCTTAGTCAAAGATTAAAAGGTGAAGCTTTATTCAGGTCCTGGTTTTTATGTCTTCCAATGTGAATAAACATTTATTTCATGGATGCTGACAACATTATATAAAATATGATCAATTTAAAATCTGTGATTTTAAAAAAATCTACACCAGTTTATATTTAAAGGCTACCTAAACAGCTAGTGCTGTACTCAATTTTAGGCATAATTTATTTAGACAGTTTTATTCACAGTTTGATAATATTTTTGCACAGGAAGCCTTGGGGAAGTGTGAAATCTTCCCAAATAATAATATGCATGTTAATCCAGGTGATACAGTTTGCATCAGATGTCAAAACATTGGGTTGTGCCAACTTCCCTGGCTGAAACACCATTCCAGGACATGGTCAGACAAAGGGCAGCAAACAAAAGCAGGAACAGTCTGATAACTAACAAGAAAATCACAGAAAGGTCCATGGAACGATAATCTTTTTTATTATTATTATTCTGTATAAAGCAGAAGTCCGTGTTAAGGAGATGTTATTCCAGCTAATCCTCTCACCCTCACATGTTATGTTTCTGGAGGACAAATTCTGTAGCAAAATATTTATAGACAATTCCCCAATTGCTCTTGGACTAATTTTCTTGTTATCCTTGGAAAGAATTATAGAAAACAAACTAGTTCTGTATAATTGGGATCTGTGAGTGAAGAGAAAGGTTGAATTCTTAGCCAAATTGGTTTGTTTGATATTTTATTCTGCTGTCCATGAATTGTTAAAATTTACTTCTACTCTCTCCCTCCCTCTATGTCAACCATGGTTGCATATGTCTGTTTAAATTTCAAAACACAATGTTTATAGCAATAGCTAAGCGAACTACAAATTACTGGTACAGCTTTCCCCAGGGCATAGATGCAGTCAGTTATGGGCAATTCTTTATGTACTGAATTTCTGTCAGACCTAGAGCTTCAAAGTAGTGTTGTGTGATGCGGCTGAACCAGTTGCCTATTATCTCAGAAAAAATTGCGCTGTGCACTTTGAACACACAGATGCCCTAGTCAATCAGAAATGGCCATTCCTGATGGCTTCAAAGCTGCCATATGTCTGGCCCTTTTTTAATTGTTAAAGCAAAACAATATTTTACCAATGTTGATCAGTGTCGGCATTTCTATCAATAGAATTAGAATTATCCTCTTTCTCCTATCTTCTACCAACTATGTGATTGGAGAGAGGGAAGTAAAATTAATCTAGAATGGCTCCATTTTTACAGGGATATTCTAGGACTTCATCTTTATGGGCAAAAGAGTTAAACCTCTACTAATCCTTTTATCCTTATTGGCATAATACAGCTCAACAGAAGTATCCCCGCCCTTATCACATCCAAAACATCTTTTGTGATGATTCTGTATAATTCAAATTTGATTCACTAATAATAATCAATGTAAGATAGAGCATATATCTTAACTGAACACATTTAAGACTGAATCTTGGTGAGAATAGAATAGAGTAGAACAGAACAGAACAGAACAGAACAATAACTTTATTGTCACTTTGAATGTACACTAATTGGCATACATTAAAATTAAATGGTAGTTATTAGTTTGTAAGAGTGGGATATGCACCAATTTGACAAGCTACCACTATTTTCATGCAGTTCCCACATCAAAAGTTGAGTTCATAAGCATAGTCACTTTATCTATATTTTGTTGAATAAGCGTTAATGGCTATTTCTTACAAAATATTTAGCTAAAAACCATAGCTTATACACTGCAGTTATGTTAACAGATTACATTAAGCTATACTTTTATTTCAAAGCTTGTTAAATAAGCCAAAGTCTATGTTTCACATATTGGAAGAAGCTAAAACTAAGCATAACTAATTACAGTTTAGATCTGTATTGTTGTCATGCAAATGACATAATCTATATTGTTTGCATCAAGATATTCTTTTTGCATTGTAATGGAAACAGACACATGATATAAAATGATGCAAATATAATCAGAATCTCATCCATTGCATTCAAAGTCCATTGCATTAATGTCTACTAAGTCAAGATTTCACTGTAAAATAAAATTGAATCAGTAAATTTTCTTTCCCATAATCAAGGTAATTAGTGAACTTTACTGAGCATGTTATATGACAATACATTTCAAAAACATCTGGAAGATCATTGCAACATGCTTCCTCTTTGTAAATGGTGGGATTGTTTCCCTGTTGTTCTGTTTGTAAGTTGTTTGCTAAGTGAAATGAAAATGAAAACAAACCTTTGCACTGTCTCCTGATTTAAAAATATCCTCCCACCCTTAAGTATTAACCATCTGTTCAATGGTTGAACAGAGAGCTGAACATAATGACTGAGAAGTGCAATTCAAAGTTGTTAGTAAGGATATTTGGACATGTAATAGTTTCATTCATACATAAAAAGTGTGCTCCCTAATGTGATCAGATTGGTTTTTTTTTCTATATTGTATGTTAAATATTGATCGATAGTCAAATAATTAACCTCTTTCATAATTAGCTCTTTTCATACAGGACTCATGGGATGTTTGGAAAGCTTGTCTGTTTAAAGAGACGCTCAGACATGGGTAGTTATTTGAATGCATCTGGGCTAGTCATCTTGGAATTTAATGTATAAAACACCAGAAGAGATGAATGAAGCCTTTTAGTGAGATAAACAAACAGACACATCACTTTTCCTTCCCCCAAGCACCTGCTCCTGTCAGCCTCTCTGAGCTGGAAAGAAGCTTCTTCCTGTTCAGGGTGTTCGTGTACTCCTTGTCCCATGTGGGAAGATTGGCAACAATTCCTCATCATCTTCCTCCCACTTGCCATTTCTCATTTTTAAATAGGATTTGTCTGTTTTCTGTGCGCATTAGTGATTAAATTGCAATGATAATTATTGCAATTTAATCACACCAGATTAAATTTACCTTATTAGTTCATACACACACACACAAACACACACACACACACATGTGTGTGTGTTAACCTTCAGGACTAAAACACTAAAACTGTTCATGTCATGCATGAGTTGGTATTTTGAATAATCTTTGCCCCTCCTAGATGAGCAGTAGAAATAATGAGAACTAGCAATCCTCTTACCATTGTTTGGCCTGCCTTAGCTATGTTAGTAAAGGAATGCTAAGGTCCAGTGAATCTATATATAAAATAGTCTGGAATGGCCTTCTTCAGTGTCATGCCTTCCAGATGTGTTGGACTAATTCCTATAATCCCAACTCAACGGCGGCTGGGAATTACTGGAACTGAAATCCAATATTCGTGGAAGCACCAGATTAAACAGTTGATCCAGAGCATGAGCTCTTTGTCTTGGGACATTCAATATCTTTAGCAACTTTTTCTTCAGACTAATTACTAAGATTTGGTTCATACTGGGTGATTTTATTTAAACTAAATGGTTATAGTTCAATCATTTTATCTTTGCTTTTGTTTCAGGAAGTAGGATGAAACATCCTGTTTGCAAATCAATTTATTATTTTGCAACTTAATTGATATTCCTTGGTTTTTCTTCCGGGACATTATTGAATGAGGAAGAATGCATTTGGTTATGTAGCAGTACATAAATTTTGCTAAATTTTGCTAATTATTTATCTTTTCTCTGGCTTCCAGTTGGGATGAAAGTAGTTCCATCAGTAGTGGCCTCAGTGATGCCTCAGACAATCTCAGTTCAGAAGAATTCAATGCTAGTTCTTCACTCAATTCCCTACCTTCCACCCCCACGGCTTCCCGCAGGAACTCTGCCATAGCGGTATGTAGACCAAAAATTATGGTGGTCAAAAATATCTATCTATCTATCTATCTATCTATCTATCTATCTATCTATCTATCTATCTATCTATCTATCTATCTATCAAACTTCTTAACCACCAATATGCCTCACAGAGCGGCTTTTGAAAGTATTTTTGAAAAGCAACATTATGTTGTTCCAAGTATTCTAAAATATCAAATGTATTTCTAATAATTGTCCCTTAGCTGTCTTTTAGGTAAAAACCCATATTGATTTTCATGAATAAAGTCCTATAAAACCATCTTCATTCTTTCATTTAAAATCATTGTAAATAACTTAAAATCATTATTCAATAATGATATCAAGTGATAATTTTTGGTGAAGTCAAGTCTTGAACTTCTTTAGGTATTAATGCTGTATTAGCCTACATCCAACTATCTGGTATGTTTCCAGTTTGCAAAATAGAATTCATCATGTTTTTCAACAATTATAATGATTCATCTTCAAAATGTTTATAATAAGAGGTTGGTAAACTGTCTGGTCCATGCACTTTTCCGATTTTGCCCTTTTTATAGCTTCACAAAATTCCTTATTGTAATGAGTCAATTGTTAATTGTTTCTGTCTTTGGTAAATTTTGTTTCTTCAAATATTCACCAACCTTTGCCAGAGGAATTTCTTCTCCTTTATATAATTTAAAGTAGTATTAATTAGTACTCTAGTATTGCATCTTTAGATTATCTGTTGTTATTGTAGTATTTCCATTTTGTAACTTCAGTATCATTTCCCCCTTTTTCTTTGCCCAGTTTACACATTTCCCTGGCTTATTTACAAATTATTTGCAAGTTCAAATATTTTTTTGCATGTTAACTTTTTTACTTTTTATTTTTTACTGCTAACATAGACAGCTGCCATTGTTGTGATATAATTTTGGGGGAAAATTTTAAATCTTTCTTAAAATACTAAATTGGATCTAAATCTAATTACGGTTACAATATTTTGATTAAAATCATTAAGACTAATATAACCATACATGATATAGGCCACACTGACTCCAGCAGAACTATTCTGTCAATATTTATCTAAAATGTGGGGTTTTTTGCCTATTTTGATGGATAAGAACATAAATAAGATATTGAGACTTTAGAAAGAATACAGAGAAGAGCAACAAAGATGATTTGGGGACTGGAGGCTAAAACATATAAGGAAAGTTTGATGGAATTGGGTATGTCTAGTTTAATGAAGAGAAAGACGAGGGGGGACATGATAGCAGTATTTCAATATCTCAGGGGCTGCCACAAAGAAGAGGCAGTCAAGCTATTCTCCAAAGCGCCTGAAGGCAGGACAAGAAGCAACGGATGGAAACTAATCAAAGAGAGAAGCAACCTAGAACTAAGGAGAAATTTCCTGACAGTTAGAACAATTAATCAGTGGAACAACCTGCCTCCAAAAGCTGTGAATGCTCCAACACTGGAAGTTTTTAAAAAGAGACTGGACAGCCATTTGTCTGAAATGGTATAGGGTTTCCTGCCTGAGCAGGGGGTTGGACTAGATGACCTCCAAGGTCCCTTCCAACACCACCACCACCACCATCATCATCATCATTATTATTATTATTATTATTATTGGCAAATACCAAGTGCTTGCTCTGAATTCTCTCTCAATACACGAGAGGCTTATGTGTTTTGATTCTGAAGACCTCTCTTCTTCAGAATCGGTGCTTCCAAAGGCTTTAGAGGCTTTGATAGTATAAAGGCTGCAGCTGAGCAGTGAAATATGTGTTTTAAATGCAGGCGATCCCTTGGCATGCCAACTGTGAAGAAAATTATTTAGAAATATAGGATCAAGGGTTTATGACTTGTTACCAGGTCACAATATTTCTGAACCAGACGGATGAACCTTGGGGAGCATCCCAGAAGGAAAGGCTGAAATGTCTCATTCATAGTGTTTTCTGTCCTGTAGCTGCGCACAGATTCTGAGAAACGGTCATTGGCAGAGAGTGGGCTGAACTGGTATGGTGAACCAGAGGAGAAGACCCAGAAGAAGATGGATTATGACAGCGGGAGCCTGAAAATAGAGCACAGTTCCTCCAAATGGCGACGGGAACGTTCTGAAAGCTGTGATGAAGCTCCTGCCAAAGGTGGGGAGCTGAAAAAGCCTGTTACTTTGGGCCCACCAGGCTCCTTGAAGAAGGGCAAGACACCACCTGTGGCAGTGACCTCTCCCATTACTCACACAGCCCAGACTCTTAAAGTGGCAGGTGAGATTATCATTGAAATTATATTGTTACACTTTTTATTTGTTTCCCATTTGTTTCCCATTTGTCTGCAGAGTCCAAGCAGGAGTGCCTGACTATTTCTAGGACACTAATAAGGCCAGAAATATTTTAATGAATCTACAGTTGTACCTAGTAAAATATTCAGTCATGTCATGACTCTTAGGAATTTTTAAGCCAGTTTAAAAATTTTTAAGCCACCTCCAATTTGGTGCTCTTTGGATATTTCAGACTTCAGATGTTTCAGTCATGCCTCAAATCAAAACTAACATGTGGAGATCCTTCCAAACTTGCTTCTTTTGCCCCACCTGTAGACAGAATCTTGCCAAACTAAGCACTTTATTATCTGCATTTACAATATAGTCTGTAAACTATTAGAGAAGGGCTGTCTTCATCCTCTTTCTCAAATACCCTTTTTCCTGGGAATTCACCTTCTTATTATATTCCGTAACCGTATATCTCCTATTAGCTTTCAAGCAGCATGGCAACTGAGTATTATGGCTGAGGGATTAGGGCAGTTGAAATCCAGAATGGCATCAGAATGAGAAAAGCTATTCTGAGCAAAAATGTTGCAATTGCAACAATTACTATATCTGAGTATTTTTTTCCCCATTCAAATGTGTCCAGTTCTTGGAGACTGCCTGGACAAGTCCTTGCAGTTTTCTTGGCAAGATTTTTCAGAAGTGGTTTGCACTGTCTCCTTCCTAGGAAAAAGAGAATGTGACTAGCTGTAGATCACCTAGCTGGCTTTTTGCCTATGGCAGGAGTAGACCTCATGGTTTCTCAGTGATGTTTTAACTACTACACCAAACTAAATCTTAAGTAATTGATACTTATATACAAATATGACAAAACCTTTCCTTTCTATTACATATGCTTATATCTGAATACTCTACATGTTTACACAATATTTATGATTTTTATAGGAGATAAAGAGATGAACTATCAACAAGACATTGTTGGAAAAATCTTACACTCTACCTTCTTTGTCTGAGTGTTTCAAGCTCTTATATGATATCTGGAATCCCAAAATGTCAGTTTTGAGTAAATTATTTATCCTCTACCCAGAGGAAAGGAGCTTAGCAAACACACAAATAAGAATATATCTTGACATTCCTGGAGAATTGCTGTATCACACTGCAACCAGCATTTTAAGGCAACAAGTTTCCAATAAGGAAATTTATTTTTTGATGACCTGCCATGACTATGGGAATGGATTAGGTTCATCTTGTGGAATGGGGCTTGGGGATGGAAAGGGACAGAAATAGATTTTGGCTATCTATTGGAGGGAAGGCCAATAGGCAAAATTTGACTCAACCTGAAGGTAAGTTTGATCTAGTGGTTAAGTCACCTGACTAGAAAGCAAAAGACCATGAGTTCAAGTTCCGCCTTGGCCCTGACATGAAAGCCAGCTGGATGATATTGGGCCAGTCACACTCTCTCAGCCCAAAATAGGAGGAGAAAGTGTGTTGGATATGTTTGCCACCTTGAGTTATTTATAAAAATAATACAGGTGTGATAGATAGATAGATAGATAGATAGATAGATAGATAGATAGATAGATAGATAGATAGACAGACAGACACAAACATACGTACAATATGTATGTATGTATGTATAATATGTAATAATAAGATTTCTAATAAGATAGAAATAAGTTCTTTTTTTTATCCAAAGATCTGTGTAAAGGCATACCTTTTCCTGTATCTATTCCAAATGTTGTTTCCTGATCAGTCCTTCCCTTTCTCAGGTAAGCCTGAAGCAAAAGCAACAGACAAAAGCAAACTGTTTGTGAAAAATGCTGGCCTGCAGCGCTCATCTTCTGATGCTGGCCGAGATCGGCTTTCAGATGCCAAGAAGCCTCCCTCTGGACTTACACGAACCACCACGGCTGGTTCCTTTGGTTACAACAAGAAACCCCCTCCTGCAACGGGTACTGCCACAGTGATGCAAGCTGGTGGTTCAGCTACACTTGGCAAGATCCAGAAGAACTCTAGTATCCCTGTCAAACCTGTTAATGGCAGGAAAACCAGCTTGGATGTCTCCAATGCAGGGGAGCCTGGGTTTATGGCGCCAGGGGCCCGTACCAACATCCAGTATCGGAGCCTGCCACGCCCTGCCAAATCTAGCTCCATGAGTGTCACTGGTGGACGAAGTGGCCCACGTCCTGTCAGCAGCAGCATTGATCCCAGCCTCCTCAGTGCCAAGGGGGGTATTTCTGTTTCACGCCTCAAGGAACCCTCTAAAATAGGGGCAAGTCGGAGCACGCCAGGGCCAGTGAATCAGACCGACAGGGAGAAGGAGAAGGCCAAAGCCAAAGCAGTGGCCCTCGACTCTGACTCTGCCTCACTCAAGAGCATTGGCTCCCCTGAAAGCACCCCAAAAGCTCCAAGTGACCACCAGACCCCCGCAAAGGAGGCTGAGCTGCCACCCACACCCCTCAGGTAGGAATGGTGGTTTTGAAACAATAAGATCCTTCAGTTCACAATTATTTATGTCAGGGCAATTACATGATTACAATTAATTATAGTTGTGCTATTATTTATGCTTTTAAACCATTTTAAGGGGATTTTAAATATGAAGACAAGTGAGTAATTCCTTCCGTTCTTGGACAGTATGAGTTTATAGTCTCCCAGTCACAATAACTCTTTCCTGTCCATATTGGAGACGAGGCAAGCTTAATTTTGTTGTTTAGTTACTGGCAAAAAACTGTCATTTTGATCAGTGCTTTATTTGGTCTGTTTTCTAATTTAAGAATGCTGTGTAGATAAAATTGTGGAGTCTGGAGTGTTATGACTAGAATGAAGCATCAGAGAAAATACATATGACATTTTGATAAAGCAAGCTGATAAATAAGGGCTAGGTGGCATGTCTTCTAGGTGGATCCACAGATTCCCTGAACAAGTATTTCAAAGATTGTTCATTAGTTGTTCTTCATGAAAAGGGACTAAGATACCAAGGGAAGGACAGTGGAGTTTGGTCCTTTTTAATACTTACATAAACGATTTGTATAAAGCAGTGGTGGCGAACCTATGGCACGGGTGCCAGAGGCAACACTCAGAGCCCTCTCTGTGGGCACGCGTGCCGTCGCCCCAGTCCTAGGCCTTCAGCTGGGTTTTATAAAACCTTTTGGCTTTAGGCCTCCGCTGCCATGTGCAAAAAAAAAAAAAAGGTTCAATCAATCAGTCAATTTCAACTTATCACGGGAAAAAAAGACCTTGCAAAGTTGGAATTGATTGATTGAACATTTTAGTCCCACCCAGTTTGCCATTACCACCACAGCCACGCCCACCCAATGGGCCACACTCACCCAATGGGCCACACCCATCTGGCACCCGATGATGCATAAGTGGGTTTTGGGTTGCAGTTTGGGCACTCGGTCTCTAAAAGGTTCGCCATCACTGGTATAAAGAGTTTGAGGAACTTTGCAGGTAATACAAAACTGAGAAACTATGTTTTAATATTCTTGATGTAGAAACAAAATTCTAAACAAACTCAATAAGGGTCGCTGTAGGACTAAAAATAATACAATGAAATATAATGCTGATATTTTTCATTTATGAAAAAAATCAAATGCATTTATATAGACAGAACATCTAGCTTGGTAAACATAAAAAGAATTTTGGAATTCTGATTGATTACAAGCTGAATATCAGCAAGTAGTATGATTATGGAATACTAAAAAGTTTTTTTTAAAAATTGTAAAATTTAATAAATGCCATGACATCAACAAAGAAACAAGATAAATATTTCTTATTTGGTATTTTGACATTTTGAGAAGTCTAATAAGCATGAAATACTGTTTGCTTATGAATTTCAATTGTGAATCATAAGCATATGTCACATTTTTTTAAGAACTGGACCCACTGAGTCTCCAAAATAGAGTATTCTATTTCTTCATTCTATAGTTCAAGTACACAACTAATTCTTTCTTTCATTTCAATTTTTAAGTAACCTTGCAAAATAGAATTGTTGCTTTCTGTTCAAGCACTGCATCTCTTAAACTGCAGATATGGCTATTAGAGTATCTGGCCATACTATTAATTAGTGCATATTTCATTTTATATATTGCCAAGCAAATATTGTAAGATGTAATTTCTCAGAATCTTTAAAAATGTGTAATACATTCCTGCCTGAAACTCTGGCAAGCTTTTGCCAATTAGTATTATAACAATATTAAGTTAGATGAACCAAGGCTTGATTGAAAAAGCAGGTTTCTGTGGTTTTCGTGTGATTATATGTTCAAAACTAAATTGCTCTCGAGCTCATTAGTTTGAATTCTTATGTGTGAACTCTTAATTTTTTTTAAAAAAAGTGTTACTCAGCATCTGGTTTGAGTCCCAATTCATTGGGATGACTTGGGATAATGGGAATATCTCCGGAAAGGAAACATTCTTCAGTTACTGAACTATGCTATGATCCCAGTATTCCCAAATCAACAGGATAGTGAATTTGATGCATTTGATTCTTATATGGGAGCTGATGTAGCTTAAAGTTGTTTTTCTCTATATCATATGCAAATGTTCAATGTACTTGTGCTAGATATAATGTTTTCATAATACATGAAGTGATCATGGCATGCAATATCAGACGCTATACCAAAATTTGTCTTCATACTGATCTCCTCTTTTGCAGGTCAGCTGCCAAAAGCTATGTAAAAGCCCCTTCTCTGGCAAACTTGGACAAGGTGAACTCTAATAGTCTAGATCTCCCTTCTTCAAATGATCTCCATCAGATGCATAGTGGTAAACTGCAAGAGTCACACCCAGCTACTGTAAATACCCATCTCACATCATGCTTCACACCAAGCCCTGCTCCAGTCCTTAACATTAATTCTGCTAGCTTCTCCCAGGGCCTGGAGCTCATGGGGGGCTACAGCATCCCCAAGGAAACCCGCATGTACTCCAAGCTTTCAGGATTGCACAGGAGCATGGAATCCTTACAGATGCCTATGAACCTGCACAATGCTTTCTCTGTAGGCAGCACAGCTACACCTACCACTGCCTCTACACCTCCTGTTGCTGCTGAGGAAGAGTCCAATGAGATGGCCTGGACTGGAAGCCCAAGAATTACACATCTGGAAAGGTAGAGGAAGAGAAATGGGATACCTATGCTATGGGGAAAATATTTTTCACGGTAGTAAAAGAACTTATCATATTATTTTCAATTATATTTCTGCAATAAGGCACCAAAAAGCAGGAGACCATGAGTTCTAAGTCCCACCTTAGCCATGAAAGCCATCTGGGTGATTTTTGGCCAGTCACTCTCAGCCCTAATCAGAGGGTTGTTGTGTGGGTGAATTGGAGGAGGAAGGTGTGTTGGATGTGTTCACCACCTTGAAGTTATTTATAAAAATAATAAAGATTGCATACAAATAAAAATAGATAAGGTAATATGTAGGTGGCACCACCTACACAATCTTGGTTAATCTTTAAAAGTGAAACAAGATCAGACCTGAATAGTACGTGGATGAGAGGCTACAGGTAGTCCTCAACTTATGATCACAATTGGGGCTGGAATCTCAGTCATAGAACAAAGTGATTGTTAAGACAGAACCTATATGATTGCTTTGCTCAGTCACTGCATTTCAGCTCTCCCAGTTGCAGTCATTGAGCGACTATGTAGGTCGTTAATTGGAAGAATAAAAGAGCTTCCTCCAAAGGAGGGCGGGCAGCTTTTCTCTTTGCATGGAAGGGACTTTATGCACTGAAATGGAGAGATGAGATAGAGATCACAAAGGTCACATCTTCATCTCTCCAGCATTGTGCAGGAGTTCCTCTCTCCTCCATGTGAGGAAGGTAACTCAAACTGGGATTCTGAAGATTCAAACTTTGTTTCTGCAGCCCAACAAAGAATTTCTCAGTCCATCCTCTCTGTGCATGGAGGGGAGGAGAAACCTTTGGCCGGTGGCAGTAGTCTGCAACCCCCAGCTTCCCTACTGACTTTCTGGAGAAGCTGGCAGAGAAGATTGCAAATAGGATTACGTGATTGCAGGGCAATTGGCAAAGTATCCTATAAATAGATTACTAAGTCCCCAGATCATGATCATCTGATTGGAACTGGAGTGATGCACTATTTTATGATGGCCAGAAATGTTTTACGAAGTGTAAAGCATTCTTTCCAAGCCATCATAACTTCAAACTGTCATTAAACAACCAGTCATAGATTGAGGAATACTAACCAAAGCTTTAAACTAGATGTGAAAGTAAAAAAAAAATTCCTGTAAGAAACAAGTGCAAATCATTTCTATATAGACAAACAAATTACAAGGATGTATTTGATTTGCATATCTCACCAGATTCAATTCATGGGAGTTTTTACCTTTAATCTAATTTAAAAATGAGATGAAAAGATAGAAAAAAGGATTATAGCATTCCAATGCAGGAACAAACCCTTTAAAACTCACCATATTTTTTAGTTTATAATTCTTTAGTTTGCATACATGGCAAAGTTGCAGTGGCTCAGATAGTGCAAATACAGAGTCTGGGCTTGTGTGAAGCCTGATTGGGTCTATTCCCCAAAATTCACGATCAGTTTATTGCTTATCAGGAGCCACAGCTGGATTCAAGCAAATAATGAACAAGCACTACTGCTCATTTTTCTTCCTGCAGCTCTAACCGTGACCGGAATACGTTACCCAAGAAGGGACTGAGGTAATTGTTCTTTGTGTTACCTATTATTTAATATTATCAGTGGAGGGTGAAAAATGTCTAAGTTCCTGTACTTATGATAGTGAAAAAAGATCAAAGAAAGTGTGAGTTTATCTCATGCCAGTGCTGTATAACTGTGTGCCAGTTGCATAGTCATTACTTATAGCAGCAAACAAGAGATTCTATAGACATTGCAAAGTCAGAAGGCCATAGCAAATCAATTCACGAAGATAATTTATAATTATACTTCACCTTTTTTCTGTTCAAATTATATAATACTAGAGGTTTGGTTACAGCCTTGACTTCTTGACTCTGTTCTTGATCATATGTGATATAGCAATTCCAACTGTAATTCCAATATAGATTACATCAAACTGTCAGAATAGATGCATTCAAATCAACTTAGATATGATTAACAACTCTCATTGATTTCAGCGGATCGATTCTGATTATTTCTCTCACCATATGTCCTTGTTATTTTTCTGAAAGCCACAATTGAAATGTAATTGCTTTATTAAAATAGTTTTTTTTAAAAAAATGTTAAAGTGAATGATTAACACTTTTTTAAAAAGTTAAAATTTCAGTTTACAAGTACAATGCAATATGAAACACTTATTTCTGTTATTGAGTTCAAATCTATACTAGAATAATTATATGCTCTGCAATCTAGTCCTTTGATGGCTTACTTCAACATCATTGTATTGATAAATATTATAACTCTAGTCTTGATTTATCTCTTTTCATTGATTTCCTTTGAAAATAATGTCTTGCATAATGATGATGACATATCCAGCATCCATAAGAAGACACCAAATAGCTTATTATCTTCCCGTGAACCATGCCTCCTTCGCATAATTCTAGAATTAGGACCTATTAGATTCTCCCTGAGCAACTGTAGTCAATTATAATTTATAATTTTAGATCACAGTCTATTCTTTTAAACTGATTTCTTTGAATATAAAAACCACACCATTAGATTCTAATAATTCCCCATAAAGATAGAGCAGTGATTTTAATTTAATTTTTAATTAATTTTTAATTTTTTAATTGTAAACCGCCCTGAGTGACTTAAATGAGAAAGATGGTATAGAAATGCAATAAATGAATAAATCTGTAAGAAGAGAATTGTAAAAAGTATCTTAATATCCCTGCCTAATGCAATAGAAACTGGCTAAATTAATTATGTTAAACTGACTGCCTCTCTCTATCTCTTGGTTTTGGCAGGTATCAAATCCAGCCCCAAGAAGAGACCAAGGAGAGGCGACACTCACATACAATTGGAGGAATGCAAGAATCGGATGATGCCTCTGAACTGCCTTCTCCTCCTGCTCTCTCCATACCACTGGCTGGGAAAACTCCACTCACCAATATTGGTTAGTTGCCTTTCCTTTTGCTTTTTTTAGAAAAGGAAAAGGGAAAAGGAAAAGGTCAATTGTTCTAAATCAGTATAATCCAACAGAAGCTATGCCATTTTTCAAATTCTATTCCTTAATTTTCTTTTTTCTGGCACCTTTCTAACCTACTCATAATCCAAAAATAGCCGCATATAAAAAAAACATGTTGTAAGATGTTTTAGAGATAGTTTGAATAGCCTATGGAAATTGGACAAGACAATGATTAAGGTGAAACTTCATACGGAGACTTCTGCAACGCTTTCCTCCTGTAGTCCTGATGGTGTAGAAGGACTATATTTCTGTAATTTCCCAAAGCCAGTTTGCTACACGGGTTATTGAGCAAGCCTGAGCTTACCTTTTAATTTCCAGAAAAAATAGTAATGAGCATCCCCTTGAATTTTTAGTGATTAAGTAGGATTTCATTTGCAGTAGTAAATTTACAAGTAAGGGAGAAAAGCAGCAATAATAAAATGCTTTTAAAAATGCAGTCTTTGTTTAACAACCACTCGTTCAGCAACTATTTGAAGTAACAATGGTGCTGAACAAGGAGACATACAACCAGTTTTCATAGTTGTAGCAACCCAGCAGTCATGTGATCATGATTCCAGTGTTGGCAACTGGCTTGCAATTTTGATGGCCACAGCATCCCATGGGCACATGATTGCCATTCACGATCTTCACTGTCAGTTTCTGATAAGCAATGTCAGTTGGAAAGCTAACAGGAGGTCACAAATGGTGATCACATGACTTCACAACTAACAATTGCAATACTGTTAGCATCATAAGTCAGTAGTCAGCATAAGTCACATGACATTGGACTTGGCAACCTCATAAAGTGAGGACTACTTGTAATAGTAATTTAATCCAGGTTAAACAAAAGGTTTGATTTTTTTTATTTGTATCCTGCCCTTATTATTTTTACAAATAACTCAAGGTGGTGAACATATCCAACACACCTTCCTCCTTCTATTTTCCCCACAACAACAATCAAATAGGTTGGTTGGGTTGAGAGAGTGAGTGACTGGCCCAAATTCACCCAGCTGACTTTTATGGCTAAAGTGGGACTTGAACTATTGGTGTGTTTGTGTCAGAATGAGATGTTAGGTGAGGAAGAGGTAAGCAGCAAAATAAATATCACATCTACTTTGCTTTGAGGCTCTGGGCATCAAATGCAATATGGAAAACATGATTAAAACTTTACAAATTGCAATGTGATAGGCTGCAAGGAATTTTAACTTGCCCATCCAGAATTAACTCTGACGTTGTAGCCCATAGGAAACATTGACACTTTGGACGTAAAGCTGCTTTTTTTGAAGCAAGCTCTTGGAAGCTCCCCCATGTGACTAAACTAAATTTAAATCAGACATTTTTTTATATCTGACTATTCAACCTATTACACCAACACAACCCATTTTCTGGGACTCACAGTCTCCTGGTTTCCAGCCTGGTACTTTAACCACTATGCCAACTGGTTCTCTGTTCTCTGTTATAGATTAAAGATCATGGTTTCTTTAGTTTATGCCTACTGGATTGCTGAGAGCACACAAGCAGCTAAGAATATGGAATAATATTGTAAGCCAGCCAAAGTCACAGCATATGAGTTGGACAACCATATAAATGTGTTTAATAACAAGATAATTGTTGTGTGGAAAATTGGAGGAGGAAGGAGTATTAGGTATGTTCACCACCTTGAGTTATTTATTAAAAAAATAGGAGCAGGATAAAATATATCTAAATAAATCAATGGGCTTGATGTCAGGTTTGCTTAGTCAGCATGCAGAGCTTTTCCTAGCTTAAACCAGGAGCCCAGAATCTGACCCAGCATACTTGCTTCACATGTAGAATTCTTTGGTATTGTTTTAAGCATCTGTTTTTTAGAGCTCTGCTTGACTTTCTTGGGAATGGGGGTGAGGATGTTGAATAAAAGAAAAAAAATACAAAACTGAAAAGTACAGGTATTTTTCATTAGAGATAAATATGAAAATAAATTAAATAGACAGTTATAGTACAAGTCTATTTTACCTCTTATGTGCAATGAAAAGCAATCAACCCCCTGTGAAATTTGAGCAAATTCAGTTCTCCAATTAGGGATAAACATAATAAAATTTAAAGAATGATAATAAAATATTCTACATAATAGGCTTACGTTCCTTTGTACATATATTATTTATTGTTGCATCTTCTTTGTCTCTCCAGTTTAATACAAAAATACAGTTTATTTTTTACCTTTGCAATTTTATTGTTGATGAAATGAATTTAAAGTCTTTTAAATGGGAATTGATTAACAAGTATTGATTAGTCTGTACTATCGTCAGTGGGCTTTAGTCAGTGAAAAATATTTCACATTTAAACAGACATGAGAGTCAAATATTCTCCCAAATCACCATAACAGCCCAAGTCAAACTAGTCAAACTGATGCGACTATACAGGTGCAGATAAAGGATCTTGTGCAAGGTGTGATGCACATTTAATTTCTCCTTATCTTTCCTCACCTTGATCCTGGCTGCTAGCCCCATATATAGTGCTCCTTGCTTCCTAGACCCCATCCCTAGCTTTGAGCTGCTCTGACTCCCTGCTCTTTTCCCTGCTCCCTTCTCCTGCAGTGAGTCCCACAGCAGCCAACACCCCAAGGATCGCCCGTTCTAACAGCATTCCCACTCAGGACTCCACCTTCGAGCTCTACAACGCCTCCCCCATGGGCAGCACCCTCTCCTTGGCAGACCGACCCAAGGGCATGATCCGCTCAGGCTCCTTCCGCGACCCTGTGGATGATGGTGAGAGTCCTTCGCCCAGCTAGGAGGATAAGAGTCTTCTCCATAATAATGATGCAAGGATACAGTTCTAATAATTCTGTATATCAGAACTTCTCAACAGTACAAGCTGTCCTGGCAGGTGGCAGTGCAGCGAATGGTTATTATTATTATTTTGTTTATGGGGCAGCAAAATATAGTAAGGGATTAAAATAATCTGATCACCTGATTTTTTATTTATGCATGCATGTCCACTATCATCAACTAGGATTTGGTAGGAATCATAGTTATGTCAGCCTTGCATAAGCCACAGCTGGTTTCTAGATTTATTACTGGTTCTTCACCCTTTTTAAGGCATATTTTTAAATGGAATGTGGTAGCACTTCCAAATTGTCCAGAACACTTTACTATAAAGCAGCGGTCCCCGACCTTTGTGGCTTGGCAGTCCAGCTGGGGAGAGCGAGAAAGGAACCGGCCTTGCGAGTGTTGGGCTGGCACACATGCGCATGCATGAGCTGCTCATGTGTGCCAGCCCAACACTCGCAAGGCCGGTTCCTTTCTTGCTCTCCCCAGCTGGGCTGCCAAGCCACAAAGCTCGACTTCCGTGAGTGGCAGGCCGGCACACATGTGTACACAGTTTGACTTGCGCAAGATAAGCTGTGCACATGTGCATGCACAATGGCCCATCGCTCGCACAAACAACCCTCATGCGGCCTGTTCCAAATAAGCCACGGCCTGGTAGTGGGCCATGGCCCAGGTTTTGGGGACCCCTGCTGCAAAGAAAAGCACACTGCCAACAAGTACCAATTTACACAGGTTGCAACGGGGATTGTCTATACCACAGGTCGGCAACCTGCGGCTCCGGAGCCGCATGCGGCTCTTTGAGCCTTCCCTTGTGGCTCCCAGCCTCCTCTGCCTTTGCAGAGAGAGACAGAGACAGAGAGAGGCAATTGCGCTTCCCTGCTTTTCTCTCTCTCACTCTCTCTCTCACTGAGAGAGAGAGAGAGAGAGAGAGAGAGAGAGAGAGAGAGAGAGAGAGAGAGAGAGAGAGAGAGAGAGAGAGAGAGAGAGAGAGAGAGAGAGAGTGTGTGTGTGTGCGTACAGTGTTCTCCGAGGATCTGAAAAACTTACTGGGCGGAGCTCCTCCCTTTGCTGCGTCTCTGCAGGAAGCAGGAAGCAGGAAGGGCAGGAGAGAGCTAGCTAGCCCAGTTAGGCTGACTCAGGAATTCTGGGAGTTGAAGTCCATGAGTCATAAAAGAGACGAGGTTGCCTACCCCTGAGTTGTTGGACAACAGCTTGAAGCTTGCCAGGTGAGCAGCAGATAGGAGGGGGGGGAAGAGAGAGGGAGTGAGAGAGAGAGAAAGAAAGAGAGTGGGGGAAGAGGAGTGGCAGACCAAGGGCAGATAGAGAGGGAGGGAGGGAGAGAGAGAGACCCTTTTGACATCTAAAATGAAGATAACACTGCAAATATCCTTTTTTTACCTTTGTGTGTATGTAATTTTATTCTCTTAAAGCATTCTCTTGGTGATCATTGTTTTAATAGTATGGATATTCCCAAAAGTCATATTTTTATTTTTAATGTGCGTGTGCGTGTGCGTGTGTATACACACACACACACACACACACACACACATACATATGTAGGTCAGAAAACAAATATATACATATATATATATATACATACATACACACACACACAAACACACACACACACCTATAATAAAGGTAAAAAAGGATATATGCAGTGTTATCTTAATTTTAGATATCAAAAGGATTTTGCGGCTCCCGGTGTTTTGTTTTTGGTGGGAAACGGGTCCAAGTGGCTCTTTGAGTGTTTTGGGTTGCCTGCCCCTGGTCTATACCATCTGGATTTCAGTGTGGTTTTGAATCTCTAGTTCTGTAGTTGCATGAAAAGCATAACTTCTACTTTGGCAACTATACTTTGGCATTTATATCTTGATTTAAGTGAAAACTCCTACTCTAAAAACAAGCATGAAACACAAAAAAATAAGGTTTTCATCAGAAATTTTTGTTTGCTCTAGGAAATTTTGTAGTCAAGCATTCAGAAACAAAATAATAATAATAATTGCTGCCTCTGAAGTTTTCTGATCAGATTTCCCATATTAGCCATCATATGAACTCTTAATGTTGTTGACCCACTATTTTCTACACATATAACCTCCCCCCCCCCGAACTGCCATCCTACCTTCCATCCATGCTACTCCTACTGGATCACTTTGTGATCAATCATACTCCATTAGATAGGCAGCCAAAGAAACTTTGTGACAAGTCTCACTCTTTCTCTCTTTATTACAGTTCATGGATCTGTGCTGTCCCTGGCTTCCAGTGCTTCCTCAACTTATTCCTCAGTAAGCTGTGCTCCCTTCACATATATTCTGTCCCATCTTTCACTTTCTCTGTATTTCCCCCTTCTCTAAGGGTGATTTCTAGCTGTAGTCTTTCCAAGAGAAAGTGTAGTTAAAGTTGACTGAGTTTGGCATTTGTCATCATTGGGAATAGTAGCATTGAATAGCGCTATACTTTGTAGTATTATAAGGTATAATGAGAAGAGGAGGTGGAGAAATGACATAACAACAAAATAGAAAAATGTCTGTGCTTATGCTGGGTTCTTTGCATGGCTGGTCACTTGTGTTGCCTGGGAATGCCTCTACTACTTTCACCCTAACTGCCTGCCTCTCTGTCTCTCCTCTACCCCATTATGTGCTGCCAGGCTGAGGAGAGGATGCAGTCAGAGGTACAGTAAGACCCTCACTTTACTTCCCACTGCTATTCTGCTCTTGACCTTTGGTGGAGAGCCAGCAATCCTCCTGCTTCCCAACTTTCCTGCCTTTTCTCTCTTTCTCCTGCAGCAAATCCGCAAACTGCGCCGTGAACTGGAGTCATCCCAAGAGAAAGTAGCCACACTGACATCCCAGCTCTCAGCCAATGTGAGTAGCCAAATTGGTGCAGTAGCATAATGTGCCCTCATTCCATGGAGTCTAAATGCTGTTTTAATTTTCAAGACTAACCAATTATATACAGTACTTACCTACCAACCTACCTATCGACCTACCAACCTATTGTATTCACAAGTAATTTAGGCAAGGTAAAAGAAATACTTTGCTGGGCATCCCAGCAAAGCTTAGCTGTTCTGAATAAACATGTCATGTAGTCCGGAGTTTTAACAGGATTGTATTGCTGCACAACCACAATAAATTATCACTGAGCATTAGAGAGGACTTTAAGCTTTTGTGTTGCCATGTAGCAACAGCACCCTCTCTTGGCCTTTTATTCTTCCACCTTTGAAACTTTTTGGAATGTTGGATTATATTCATTCCACCACTTTCTGGAAGGTGATCCTGGAAATATTCTTTGATATCTTTCCTATGGTCTTCTGGAATTGCTCTAATTTTAAACAGTTCCAGTAATCCCAAGTTATCCAGATCTTTCCCCTACTTCTATAACTTCTGTCTTAACTTTCCACAATTTCCATTTTATCATTAATTTGTTTTACATCTACAGTCAATTGTCCTACAGATTCTTCAATCTTCTGAACTTCATCTTTCATATTCCTTTTTATCTCTGCAAATATTTCTTCCATTTCCTTTTTAAATGCATCCAAATTATTGGCAATTGTTTCAGTTATTCTCTTGCCAAATTCTGAAACATTTTCTGCCATAAATCTGGTGTTATCTGTAAGTTGTTGTAATGAATCCCTCCTTTTTCCTGTTTTTGCTTCTTTTCCTGTGGTTGTCATTGTGATATTTATGGCCAGAAGTAAAAGTAGGTCAATTACTAGGGTGAAAATAATATTCCCATTTTGCTTTTCTCTGTCTTTAACACTTTAGTCCCAATTAGCTCTTTGTAACTACAGTCTCACTCTAAGGCTCCTATTACCTTTGTCTTCTTATTTTATGAAATCTACCAAGTACCTATTTTTCTTAATAATAAACAATCAGCATTCCCATGAAGGTTCAGTCTGATTGTCTAGTTAATTTTACTATTTTCAAAGGCACTTTTATCAAAGAAAAAATATTCTTCTGTTTTCTAAAATTGCTGTCTTCTTTATATGTTCGAAACATTCTTAAATCACGATCTTGTTAAGCTTTTTGTTTTTAAGCCAAAATCCTTTAAGATGTTTTAACAGAATAACAGAGTTGGAAGGGACCTTGGAGGTCTTCTAGTCCAACCCTCTGTTCAAAAAGGAAACCCTATACCATTTTAGACAAATGGTTTTCCAATGCATTTTTAAAAATCTCCAGTGTTGGAACACCGACAGTTTCTGGAAGCAAGTCATTCCAACGATTAATTGTCCAACTGTCAGGAAATTTCTTCTTAATTCTAGGTTGGTTCTCTCCTTGATTAGTTTCCATCCATTGCTTCTTGTTCTACCTTCAGGTGCTTTGGAAAATAGGTTGATCCCTCTTCTTTATGGCATATTGGAATATTGGAACACTGCTATCATGTCACGCCTAATCTTTCTTTTCATTAGACTAGACCCAATTCCTGCAACTGTTCTTCTTCCAGTCCCATAATCATCTTTGTTATTCTTCTCTGCACTCTTTCTAAAATCTCAACATCTTTTTTTATATCATGGTGACCAAAATTGGATGCAATATTCCAAAAAAGAAGGCTACTCAACAAGTGTCTTTATTCTTCTGTTGGTCAGAAGATCTCTCTCTCTCTCAAGCTGTAAATTAATATACACCCAGAAGTGCTTACAGTACTAAGGCTTTTGCAGGTCAAGTGTCTGTAGAGGCTGCATAGTGGTTTTGAGCACAGGAGCTATCCACAGCACATATGGATGATCTCTTGATCTCTCTTTCCTGGGAGAAAATTTCATCAGTCAGCACTTGCCACCTGATGACCAATTTTTGTCACACTGATGTCCCTACTCAAACAGATGCTTATAGGGACATCTAACCTGCCTAGATCTCACTTGGAAGCCAGTACCTGAAGTATCTTTGAAGGAAGCCAACATTCATTGCCTGACATATTCTCTGCAGCTCAGAACTAGATATGAGAGGTGAATAATAATGGAAAGAGTCAGACCAAATCCTACCATTTAGCAAAGCTTTTGATCGAAGTAAAGCTCATTTTCACCCCTCTTAGTTACAGGTTCAGAAGCTTGGGACTAATTTTCATTCTCCTACTGGCAAAAAGTTTGTCAAACCATGACTTTGGTGTTATTTTATGTACTTTGATTGGGCTGTGATTAAAATTGGCTCTTTTTCTTTCTAGGCTAATTTAGTAGCAGCATTCGAACAAAGTCTGGTAAACATGACATCCCGTCTGCGGCAGTTGGCTGAGACTGCAGAAGAAAAGGTGAGTCATTAGATCAGAGAAGAGAGCAGCAAACAGTCACTTTAGCTTTCCTGTTCAAGAACAGGTTTTTGAACAGGGCTGTAGATGGTGAAAAAAGCAGAAAATTATAATTATTATTTAGTTCTCTTGGTCAATTGATATTAGGCAATATGATCCAAGCTCAGCTGAAAGCAAAAACTTCTAATATGGGAAAGAAAACCACATCCGCTTCTGTGTCTAGAGACTTGGATCATAAAACTTTGTTTATATAATAATTTGTTCTCCAGTATTGGGTATTTGTTAAAATACTAGTTTATACTTTTTCAATGGGGTGAATTACTATATAAAAAGGTAAAATTTACCTTGAGTCAAACTTGACTCCTAGCAATTGTGTATCCATGATCTATACTGTATTTTGGGCCACAATATGGAAGTGATTTGCCATTGTCTTCTGGGTTTTGTTTTTTCAATTTCCAGTCTAATCTGTAGCCCTAAGTCCTAATTAGGTGTGTCTCTGCATAGCTTTTTCAAGATTAACCAAAGTCATCCAGATACTACCATTTGATGACACAATTTACAACTCAGGTGGATCAATGTGCAGACTTAAAATACTTCCAGAGCAATTAACATAAAACAGAAGAAAATTAACCAACTTTGCTTATTTAATACTAGATACTTTTCAGTTTTTCCCAGTTTCTTAGAATAGGGTTAGGCAGGCTACAGGATGTAAACATTTTCTGTTTTGATGGGGGTTTTGCTCCAGTCATGTTATTGTTATTTTTATTTCTTTAAAAGACACAAAAATAAGTACAATAGGTATTGTAATCCTTTCCCCATGCTTAATGAGCTATTTTACTTAAAGATATTACTTCAGAAACTAGGGCACTATTGTCAGAAAGTTAACCATTCTTCCCTTAAAAAAATATTAGGCTGGCATTGTTTTGAGCAGTGCTTTTTTTCAAAGAAAAAAAAAAGGTGCTGGAACTCACACATGTCATACAATCCACCTTGCCTACCCTACAAGGTTCCATACAAAAAAGGTGCTGGAACTCCGTTCTGGGCGTTCTATGAGAAAAAAAGCCCTGGTTTTGAGAAATTAAAATGCTGGATAGATGCAGCTTCTTTGTACCGTTTGGAATATAAGGATTAGGAAAAAATGGCTTTTTACTAATATTACTCAGAAGAATTCTTAGTAAAAGAATAAAACTCAAGGCATTAATACATTACACAATGTCTTTCAGGACACTGAGTTGTTGGACTTGCGGGAAACTATTGATTTCTTGAAGAAGAAGAATTCAGAAGCCCAGGCTGTTATCCAAGGGGCCTTGAATGGAACTGATATTACACCCAAAGGTGAGGATAGTAGTTGGTGCTCATGATCCCTGAGGATATTTTTATCTGCATCTTCTCCATGATAGATTTGGTGTATATTTTTGTGTATCAGCATCTGACAATGCCCGAACTTACTAGGCAGCAGGGAAAGCAATATGCATCTTTCTCTAAATATAGGCAATCAATTCATGGTTTTGAATGTATATTGCACTTACACATCTCTTTCCCTAATATTCTCCACTTCCCTGTTCTGAGTTGGTATCTTTTAAATAAATAAGCTGATTGCTTTTCATGCAGAATTCTAATCTTTCTAAGATAATATTAAATTCATGGAAACAAACTGTACAGAAGAGAAAGGGGATTTTTAAAAATATGCTTCCTTGTTTTTCTATTTAATATATGTTTGTGTTTTTATACTTAATGTAGTTATCAGTTTGAGCCTGAAAACTGAAGGGATGCAATGATGCAAAAGTACTCAAGTCTGTAAGAACATTCTGAATGGGTCTTTTCTTTTCCTTTTCTTGTCCAGAATTACGAATCAAGAGGCAAAACTCATCGGATAGTATATCCAGCCTGAATAGTATCACCAGCCATTCTAGCATTGGTAGTGGCAAAGATGCAGATGCCAAGAAGAAGAAGAAGAAAAGCTGGGTAGGTCAAGATAGAATTGAAGCCAAGGGAATTAAGTTTATTTCTACAGTTTATGAATATGAAATCCTGTAGTGTTTTATCAGAATAGGTAATAGAATGACAACCACGGTTATTCCAGGATTCTTACCTATAGCAGTAGCTATACCTGCTTGGAGAAAATATTTCTTACAGAATTTTAGTTTGCATTATTTTGCTATTGAATTCAAATGCAAAATTGCTTGCTACAGGTGGCTTCTAAGCGATGGCCTATGAAGTATACGCCAATCATATTTAATTATGATGGCCTAGCAGATCAAGGGAAGTGACGTCCATGTCATTATGGATTTTTATTAAATCAAACACATGCACCTAAAAGGTACTCAATATGCCTTTTTTTTCCTGCCCACTCACTTCCATCTCTTACTTTTAATTATTTGATTTTTTTTGTTCTCATTCCAACAGTTTGTTTTGAGCCAAAATATAGAACAGAAAAGTCTCAGTTATTAGGCTCCTCTTTAAACAGAAAAAAAGAAGAGTAATTGAAATGAAACATTTTGAAATAGAGAATAATGTGCAATTATTATACTAAATTCTTCACAACTTTTTTTTTTTTTTTTTTGCATGACAAGTCACTATTTGTGCTTCTAATGTGAGTCCTTATTTTTCCTGTATGTTATCCTTACAGTTCTGGTATTTCCCACTGTTCCAAGGAGAGCTATACCCCCAGCTCTCTACTCAGTATGTGAGTCTTCCCTTTAGGAAGACTGGAGTAGGAGTCTGTTCTATCTCTGTATGCTGAACATCCCTGCTTCTTCTGGGCAGGGAGCTCTGAGCTGAATGCATGCTTAAGTCTTGCTGTACTGTTTTTCCCTTTTCTTCCTTCAATGCTGATCTACAACACTTTTTTATTTTCAGGTATATGAGGTAAGATTTGAACTTCCCTTCCACTTTCTTCTCAGTCCTTTCCTTATGTTTTACTTCTAATTGGTCACTCCATTGTATATGGGACAGCTCAACACTTGTGAAACTAACCGTCCCATTTGCTCATGTACTTGCACTGCCAAGTCATATTGTAAGAGGCACTGCACTGGGATTGGGGGGAAAGTTTCATATCTGTTGATAATATAATCTTGAATCTGCCCTAATTCACTCTGGCAAACATTGTGCTTTTCATAAACTAGTATTTTTAATCACTTCCCATTTATAGTTGGTTTTAAAAGACTGTGTTCCAATCTTAAGGTATGTAGATGCATGCTATAGTTATCATAAGAAAAGGAAGTATATTTAAACGAATGGATGTAAGTATCTTCCTTTTTCATCATTAGCAATAGTTCTACAGATAGATGAAGAGAGAGAGAGAGAGAGTGTGTGTGTACAAGTTAAACAATTCCTCTTATGTTAAGGAAACATTCCCAATATAAAAATGATTGTATTACACTTGAGCCATAATATCACCATGTGAATTTTCTGATAAGTTATTAAGAACTTTTTTTTAAGGATACAAGTAAAGCTGTTTAAATAAATAATAACAAAGTCATTTGATCATACTTTTCATATTCAGTCTTAGTTTTGTTTGGGTGTCTTGATATCTAGGCTTACTTAGTTTTACTAATCCAAAAACAAGATTCAAAAACTCATGACATTTTCTTTATTTCTGTGTGGGCAGACCTCATCAGGAGTGTTTCTGCCAGGCAATGTCTACCTCCCTAAGTGACCTTCCATTTTGGAAACAGACCCATTGTGTTACTAGCAAGGTCAGGTCTTGTTTGTGGAATATCCAGGCAGGATTTCAAGCATTCACAGCTTGCAGCAGGCTGAAATGAACAAAATGCAAATCTTAGAGGATCTAAGACATCTCACCATGGCCAACTTGCCACAGCCAACTCACTGCGGGACAGCTTGCCATGGCCAATTCATTGCAAGACAATTTGCTATAGAACAAGAGTTACAATAATATTGAAGAAATGATGGAATATAATCATTAAAGAAAGGATGCCAGAGGAGGGACAAAATGAAATGTGACTGACAAAAATTAAAATATTTTTTAATTATTTTAAATAATTAAATTGAATTGTTGAATTGTTCCACAGCGAGTTGTCACGTGGTGAATTGGCCATGGTGAGTTGTCCTGTGATGAATTGGCTGTGGCAAGTTAACTATGGCCTTTTGGCCATGGCAAGTTAGCTATGATGAGTTGCCCCATTCCAAGTCCTAGATACTAGTAACTGCCATTTGAAGCTAAACAAGAGGACAATTCACTGAGGTAGTTTTCTTCTCCTTTTGCTTCAGAGACTGGCTGGAGGGAGAAAAATGGCATTTCTATGATCTGCCCAAAGAATTGGGTTAATGGGCAGATTAGAAGTATGATAATTATAGTAAACCCTATTTTCCATTACAGTGCTATCTTCACCCATTACAGTGGCTGTTCCTCCTGCTACTGTCTCAATATACATGTGAATCGATGCTTGTTTTGTGTCTGTGTGAGTGTGTGTATGCCTGCATGTTGCATGCTCTGCCTGAGCATGATTAAAGTCATGCATTATTTAGTCTTCTCGCGAGCAAAGCATACAACTATTTTCTTATTTTACAATGATTGAATCATTACTTTGGAAAGAACAGTCTGCTTCTTTGGTCTTTTAATAGCAAGGCTCTGGATGTATGAGTATGATGAATATACTCATCTTTTAGTTCCCTGTTCTGATGAATATTTTTCCGTTAAAACTAGAAAGGGCTTATACAGTCTAAGACAAAGGAAACAACCTAGCCTTATTTTTAAATGTAATAAATCAGTATAAGAATTCAAGAAAGATAGGGATGTAGAATTGACTGTTGGAGCATATTTAAATTCCAAATGTATAATATCCAGGAGGATAGTGCTTTATAAGCGGATAAATTTATAAGCATCACAAGAGTCTATTCACACTCAGTTAGCTTAGAAAATGTGGCATTTTACAAATACTGCAGGTTATCCTTGACATGATCAGCTATACTGCAAAATCGTCTTACAGGTGGAATCTGATTATTCCTACCTCCTAATCCTTCTCTGACTAAGACAGGAATGAAAGGGTGCTCTTAACAATGTAATTTAATAATAGAATAATATCTGAATGTGTGACAAATAGAGTGCATGTTATCAGTACAATGACTTCTTTGCCTGTCATGGTGAGAAGAAGAAATGCATGAATTCTAATCTGTCTCCCTCCTGTCTCCCTCTTGTTCCTTTATTCCTAAGATAAATATTTTAAATTTATATTTATATTTCATTTTTTGCCTGTGATAGACTTATAGATATACAAAAAGTTCCCAAGCAATGACTAGATTCACTGAAATATGATGACTACTACTAGAACCTTTTGAATGCTCAGACTTTCCTCAGTATCTTTTTCTTCTGCTTTGAAAAAAGCAATCATGGAATCCAAGGAATCAATTATGGCATGTTTACAATATCCCAAAGGTACTTTTTCACGAGGCAACTGGACCTTTTTTTTTCTCTTTGAAAATATTTTGCTTCTCATTCAAGAAGTTTCTTCAGCTCTGACTGGATGGTGGGGAATGGAAGGGTTTGTATTCCTTGCAGACAGCTGGTCATTTGCATTCTTTTAAAGAGTTGTTGATGCCACCTGGAGGCTTATCTATGTCATCAGGGTCACCTGAGTAATGCAAACAGTGGAACTGTTGAAAGGACTGTGTTGTAGACTGAAGATAGATAATAATATAATAATAATAAAGTTGGAAGGGACATTGGAGGTCGTCTAGTCCAACCCCCTGCTCAGGCAGGAAACCCTATACCATTTCAGACAAATGACTGTCCAGTCTCTTCTTAAAAACTTCCAGTATTGGAGCATTCACCACTTCTGGAGGCAGGTTGTTCCACTGGTTAATTGTTCTAACTGTCAGGAAGTTTCTCCTTAGTTCTAGGTTGCTTCTCTCCTTGATTAGTTTCCACCCGTTGCTTCTTGTCCTGCCTTCAGGTGCCTTAGAAAATAGCTTGACTCCCTCTTCTTTGTGGCAGCCTCTGAGATATTGGAACACTGTTATCATGTCCCCCCTCGTCCTTCTCTTCATTAAACTAGACATACCTAATTCCAGCAGCCTTTCCTTATATGCTTTAGTCTCCAGTCCCCTAATCATCTTTGTTGCTCTTCTCTGTACTCTTTGTAGATGATGGTCATTTTCCTCCCCCTCTGTTGAGAGAAGGCTGTTCAGGTTTGACATAGATGGCCTCTTTGACCCCTCTTTCAAACCAGTGGTCCTCTGTGTCCAAAATGTGGACTTTGCTATCTTCGAAAGAGTGGCCTTTGTCTTTTAAATGCAGATAGACTGCTGAATCAGCAAAATGTCTTCAAAGAGAAAAAAAGAAAGTCCAGTTGCCTCGTGAAAAAGCACCTTTGGGACAACCGTGACCTGGATGACTGAAAAACTCCATAGACATGTTTCTAATAAACTTGTAACCTAACCAAGTTCCCTTCCTAAACAGCCACAGGGAAAGCATCAATTCTCGTGACACAAGTCTTGTCTACTCCTAAGAATCCAAGTTTCCATAAAGAGATAGTGGTAGTGGATTATAATTAGATTACAAACCTGTTGTCTAAATGTCATTCTCTTCACCTTTTAATACACAAATGGAACCCTGCCCTCACTTGCTTCCCATTAGAGATAAGAATTCTTGTTGCTAGAATTCCAGAATTAATCTCCTTCTGATACATTAGACATACATGATAATGGTAGCAGTTATATGTAAAATCTCAGTTGATTTGTGCCATTGTTGTTGCTGATTATGGACTCTAGTGCATATTCAGACATGTCCAAGTCTCAGTCATAGACATGTCTGAATGTGGTTTCCTTTATTAGTATGCAGGATAAGGTTATTTATTTATACTATACTAGCTGCTGGGGGGAGGGAGGAGGACCCACCACATATCTGCATCTTTCCTAACTTGCAACAGATACATTATTGCTTTGGAACCCCCAGGTCATGCTGGGCTGTGTTTCTTTCAAGCAAACTTTCTTTCAAACAAACAGGGTTTATATATTTAGCTTCCCCCAAGGACTCAGATTTATGGTTTCCAATCATGCAAGCAGTCTGGTTCTTTTCATGGTGAGATAATAATAGTGACATTTAGAATAATTTCATTTCCTTGCCAGCAGCTGACTCAGCTTGAGGCATTTCACATGCTATGAGGTGAAGAGAGCAAGCCTACTTTTGTCAGAAGGACTTTCATGGCCCCCACTCCCTGGCCTAACTTATTTACATTGGCTTGCTTGAAACCAGCCAGTATTGCTGCTGAATTCTCTTAGGTCTACTGGCTGGTAGATTCACTGAACACAAATCATAGATACTTCAATCACCTTTTTTATGCTGGCATTCCTATTCTTTAAAGATGTTTGGAAAAAATGGATTTTTTTTTCAATCAGTGCATGCTTCTGGATGGAATGTACATTAATCTGTATCTTAAATAGTCATTAATTAAATGTAGTAATCTGTTTCTGAAAGAGTATAAATTCTTTTAAAAGCCATTGGCTTATTTAATGCTAATGTTAGAAACATATTGTCTGGAATATGATATATGAGATGTTCTTGTTTTGTTTTTTAAAAAAGAATCAAATGTCCTGAAAAGTATTCAAAATGACTTGAGAGGAATTTTCTTGACTTAATGGAGACTTTGGATGAGCTTTTCTAACCTTTTCTATGTCTGTATTTTCCTCTTCAGTTAAGGAGTTCTTTCAACAAAGCTTTCAGCATCAAAAAGGGTCCAAAATCTGCATCCTCCTATTCTGATATAGAGGAAATTGCCACCCCTGATTCTTCAGCACCATCATCTCCAAAACTACAGCATGGATCCATGGAAACCGCCTCTCCTTCCATCAAATCTTCTAACTCTTCTTCTGTAGGCATTGATAGCACTGAGTAAGTCCAGCCTCCAACTGTACTGGACACAGAAGAGAAAGGCCTGTGTGGGCAGTTTGGTATTTGGGAAGATTAGAAGAAGCGGATTAGATTAACTTTGACATAGCATTAATTCTCTGCATGTAGTTGTCTTTTATCCTCTGTTTTAATGGCTTTTCATTCCCTACGCAGACTTTTCCAGGCCAATGAAGAAGAACCTGAGAAAAAGGAGGTTTCAGAATTACGCTCAGAGCTATGGGAAAAAGAAATGAAACTGACTGACATTCGTTTGGAAGCCCTAAACTCTGCCCATCAGCTGGATCAGCTGCGTGAAACGATGCACAATATGCAGGTAGGACTGGTGCTCTGCATAGCTGGACATTGTGGCTCAGATTACAGTTTGTACATTGCTATGGGGACCAATTTCTGAATGCCTGTTTTGTGTTTTCATTAAACAATAAAACAATTTTATGATACATGCCCTACATTACTGCTAATTTTATTTTTATCGCTGTTTAAACAGTTGTGCATGGGTTATTGATCCTTACAGGTTTTGATTAATTCCAAATTCCTTTCCCCAGTGTAAGGAATTTTTTTTAAAGGTCAATGGAAGCTCTTTTCTACTTTTAAACTCATCATGGTCACAGTGTGGATCACTGCCCTACATATTTCTTGAGATTAAAAAAATTAAATAAGGTCTGATGCACACCCTATGGCTAACAAGATATGTCATTTGAACCATTTCTTGTCCTAATAATATTCCAAACATGTACATTGTTTCAGAACAAGTCAAAATAAAAATAAAGGTTGTTAGGGAAAGACAGAGACAGAGAGAGAGAGAGAGACAGAGAGAGAGAGAGAGAGAGAGAGAGAGAGAGAGAGAGAGAGCACAGGAAAGAATTAAGTGGTAGTTTTGGAGCTCAACGCAATTTTCTTTTGCTTAGGAAATTTTGTTTTGCTGTCCTCTATATTGCTTAACTTTCACTACTGCAGGTTTGACATCAATGCTAATGAACAAAATGAAGTGCTAGCAAACACCTGCTGTCTGGTGGAAAAGAAATGCAAAAACTACATTTGGTTTTAAAGACCTCTTTTTCCAATGGCTCAAGTTTAGGATTTACTACTGAGTCTTTAGTCTCTGGAATCCATAATGTTGATTGCCAAGCACAATTCAAAGTGCATGACAGAGGACCTGGATATCTTCAGGATTGCCTTCCTCAGATTGGTTTTGCTTGTCTTGTTGTAAGATCCAACAGAGCAGTTTAGTTCAGTTCAATTGCCATCTTCAGAGGTTGGGTTTGGCAGTAGGTCTTTTAAGTTGTCCCTTTCTTTCGAACACTGATACCACTCCGATCAGAATAGTCCCTATCCTCCTGGGTTTCAGAAAGGCTGCCAAAACTGGTTTTTTCAATACAATTGTTATAAGCTGCTTCTTCCTGTAATTACAATATGATCATAAGACTAATCAATAAACTATTGCTTCTACTATTTCTGTAATCGAACTGTAATGAATGTAGAGTTTTATTTATTATGATGCTATGTTTTTGTTGTCTTGGTTTTAATTTTGCACTTTTTAATCATATTTACCTACATAGGATATGTAAACTGCTCAGATCAGTTTTGATGGGAGTGGTGTATAGGCCCTCTAAATAAATGAATGAATATTGTTGGTTCTTATTAGGTATATCATCCCAGCCTTTGCTCTTTGTTCATTTCCTTTAGTTGGAAGTAGATCTATTGAAAGCTGAAAATGACCGGCTAAAGGTAGCACCTGGGCCATCATCTATCCCAAGTCATGTTTTGAGTTCATCCGCTGCATCTTCCCCAAGGCGCTCCTTAGGATTACAGCTGAGCCACTCTTTCAGTCCCAGTTTAACTGATACAGGTAAGAAAAGGGGAAAGTAGAATCACCAAACTATAGATAGCAACTTACTTTCCACCTCTCAGTCATATCTTCTCATATTGTTGTTATTTAATGATCTATGCTTAAAAGATAGAATCAAAATTGGTTTCGGAGGGGAAAGAGAGGGTAATAATATATGTTATATGAAGTCGTGTTTATATCTGGGAGAATGTGACAATTAGGGGTGTGCACAAAATGGAATTTTTCTTTTGAACCCATAACTATTGGAAACCAGCTGTTCTGTATAAGGAATGGCTCCTGCACAAATTGCTTTGCAAATTCCTGTTGATAATATACACAGACCGTTGTGTATATTGTTTTATGAACAGAACTTTCTCTCAAAAGAAAAATCTAAAAGGGAAGGGGAAAGTTGAACCAGAGTAAAGAAAAAGATGCGCTTTGATCTAAAATAAAGGAAATTCTGTGTTAGAATCTGGGGGGGGGGAGAGAAACATTTGATATTTGAACAGATGTCCCAGGAGAAAAAACATAAGATTATAGCCAAAGAATAATTTTACAGTGTACACACTTGCATGCATGTGTCTGTATATCTAACCATCTCGTAGACACATGAGGCTGTCGTGAAATTGAATCAGAGGAAGGAAAATCTGATATTCCCAAAAAGTATAGACAAAATTCTAAAAAATAATGATTTATTTATTAAAGAAGGCATTAAAATATACACCAGAGAAAAAAGAATCACAGATTAAGCTAATGGTATTCATAGAATTATTAATCAGAAATTATTATCAGCATGAAAAAGGCAGTATTTATGAAAGCTTGACCAGAACACTACATAAGTTGCATTTCTAGCTTTTGGAATGAATGAGTTATTTAAAGAAGAAAAACAAAATAGAAATGCCAGGATTGTTCAGCTTTTGAGAAGATATGAGAAAAAGGAAAGCTGGAAGTGGCTTAAAACCAGAATTGATGACAGATTTTAAAGAAAGTTGATGCAGAAAAATGTTGGATATGAGCCATGAGGCTTTACTCAAATCATAAGAGTTTTCTCTGTAGTCTACTAAATTCAAATAAAATAAAACAAAGTTCTTAGTTGTCCCAAATTTTAATTTTGAAAATTTGAAATAATTTTTAAAATAATTTTAATTTTAAAGAAAAACGTTTCTTCTACTTTCTGGACTCGGTGGAGCCCCCGGAAATGAATAGATTTTTTTAGTGGACTGACTCAATTTCAGTCTGTGATAGGCAGGATTTCTCAATGATTAAAATGAGGTGATCAAATATGTTGTGCTTGAATTTTGCTTTTCCAGAACTGTCGCCAATGGATGGCATCAGTGCTGGTACCCAGAAGGATGAAATGGTACTACGAATAGTAGTGCGCATGCCACCTCAGCATATCATCAAAGGAGTAAGTACCATCACAAGATGGGAGAGATCACTGTTTGAGACAGTATGTCTCATGTGCAACATATTTGGGGGAGGAGATATAATTTTAATGAGATGATCCATTTTGCCATTGTAAACAACTCCAACCATATTGTATCTCTGGTTTGGCTTCTAGGACTTGAAGCAGCAGGAGTTTTATTTGGGCAGTAGCAAAGTGAATGGCAAATTGGACTGGAAAATGCTGGATGAAGCTGTCTGTCAGGTTTTCAAGGTAAGTTGATAATTAACACAACCTTTTTGCTGCACTTCTATCTTCAAAAACTTTATTTCAGATATCTAGAGGACTAAATTTTGGATTCAAGCATTCACAGCTCAATCTTATGTTACTTTCTCTTCCTGGGCTTCAAGGACAGAACTTTAAGTTATATTTTCCTGCTCACCCTCTTCCATACTATTAAGTTAAAAAGAATCTCAGAATAGCAGAGGAATGAGGCAGAGAGGAATGGCAGAGAGAAAAAGATAAGATGGACCTAATAAAGATAACCAATACACCATCTCACTCTCACACACACACACACGCACACACACACACACACATACACACACACACCCTCCACACACAAATATACATGTATATTTCCATACATGATATGAATAATTCAGTGAATACATGAAAATGGTGATTTTTTTTATTAGCTATGGACCTTTAATCATATCAGTCTAAGGAGGGCAGTTCATCTTTGCTATCAATCTTCACCAATGCAATTGAAGTTATTGCACATATTCGTAGAATATTTATCTAAATGATAAATTTAAATATTTAAATTTAATATGGACAAAATCAACTACAGTTTTAGGAAATGCAAAAAGGAAAAAAAAGAAAAGAAAAGAAAAGAAAAAAGAAAAACAACATGTATTCTTAAAATAAACCAGTGCAGGCTGAGCTTGCTTAGTGGCCACAGAACGTTGAATGTCTAACAGGAAGAACTGAAACACCAAGGAGAGAGTACAATGGATCAATGAACAAAGTACATGATGCTATATGAGAATTTTGTTGTTGTTTTTAAGTCATATTTGTAGTGGCAATTATTATTTATCTTTATACCTGATCTTATTTCTAAAAAGCATTGTGTTTCTTCACTGTATTCTTAGAACAACTGTAGCATTAAGTACTTTGAGAGCCTCACTAATTGGAAAACTTTCTTTGTTTAGGATTATGTCACCAAGATGGACCCTGCTCTGACTCTGGGACTCAGCACTGAGTCTGTCTATGGCTACAGCATCAACCATGTTAAAAGAATCTTGGACACGGAGCCACCAGAACTACCTCCTTCCCGACGGGGTGTGACCAGCATTGCTGTGACTTTGAAAGGTCCTGCTTTTTCCATTAGTTCTTAACTATTTATTTCTAAATGACTGACAGAGAGGCAAAAGCAACAGGATTAAGAGAGCCTCTGGAAAGCACTTCTAATTCCAGAATTAGGTGATGATGATGACTGTAACAGTGTAGCACTATGCTGTACTAATTATATGCAAAGAACTGTACTTGTTTATGTTAGAATAGCATTCTTTCTGGTTTTGATATTAGATGGAAATGAATCTCAGTTTCAAGACCCTTTGAGATTGTTGTTTAATCTGGTATTTCTCAAATTGGGAGTCTGAATAATTAATAATAGGTTATCTGAATGCCTTTCTCATTAGTCCTTTTCAATCTGATGCAAAATGTGTTTATTAAGTGTCTTTCCAAGTAGGAGTAATGACATCTGTAAGCATGAGACTTTTACAATATGCATATTTCTGACTAACTGTAGCTAGGAAGAAACTGGGGTAAACAATTGAAAATTGTTACAAAGAGAAGGAAATTGTTCCGGCACATGAAGGACCATTGTAATGCAAAACTGAGGCTACTATATGATGTTATGAAGGTTTCTTGTAATATTCTTGGGCATAGGTTTGAAAGAAAAATGTGTGGACAGCCTGGTTTTCGAGACTCTTATCCCCAAACCAATGATGCAGCACTACATAAGCCTTCTACTCAAGCACCGGCGCCTTATTCTCTCTGGACCAAGTGGAACTGGCAAGACCTACCTGACCAATCGTCTGGCTGAATATCTGGTGGAACGTTCAGGCCGTGAGGTTACTGAAGGCATCGTTAATACTTTCAACATGCACCAGCAATCATGCAAGGTAGAAAACTTTTAATTGTTTCATTTTTGAATAGTCACTAGGACAGTACCTCCAGATCTTAACTCAAACCTTTACATCAGAAATGTCAAACTCGCGACGTTACATGACATCACGCAACGTTCAAAGCTTTTTTGCCATTGCCGGCAATGGGGTGGGCGCGGTTCCGGTATGATGAAACCAGCCCGTGGGCCAGCAGTTTGACACCCCTGCTTTACATGATCTTAGTCATAGGTTCCTCTGTTATTTTAGTTGAGACAATTTATCCTTATGGAACCATTCATTTTTCACTGTAATTCTAGATTTAATTTCAATGGAACTTGTTCTGAGACATGTGGATATGGCATTGAAGTCTTCATTTTCATGAATCTATTTTTCCAGCCCTCTGTCAGTTTTCCCCTTCAGTCCTAACTAGTAGTTCTCAGCCCTAAGCCCACTACCCAGTGAATTTTTCCTGATGTCCCTGTGTTTCTGCATTGCGATGTTTCTGAATATTCTCTCTATATTGATACAATAACATTTTACTTTCATTGTTTGCACCAGGACTTACAGCTTTACCTCTCCAATCTAGCCAATCAGATTGATCGGGAAACAGGGATTGATGTTCCATTAGTTATTCTCTTAGATGATCTCAGTGAGCCTGGCTCCATCAGTGAGCTTGTCAATGGAGCACTTACCTGCAAGTATCACAAATGGTGAGAAACTAAGATATGTATTGGTATTGAACTTACAAATTCCAAAATAAAGATCCTGCCCTGTAAACTATGTAAATTACAAGGATTTCCAGATTATGCTAAATTGTTATTTTTTTCCTGCCTATCCTGTACCTAACAATGACATGTGAATGACATGGCACTATTATTTCAGGCATACGGCATTATTTTCTCTTGAATCACATTAAACAAGAGAACTTTCTTATCCTCAGTTTGGATGACCAACCTGGCATAGGCAGGAAGGGTTGTAACTTTCCTCTTCAGGATCATAGAGCAGGTTGTCATTTGACTGATAGAGCATCTAATGTCTCAAACTCCTAATACTGTAATCAAAATAAATAAGAGTATGTTTTATTGTGCCCTAGAGCAGTACAATAAAATATCGTACTGTGAAACTACCAGAAAAAGGTGGTCACACTATTTTATCTTCAGTATTTCAGTCTTCAGGAATCAACAACCAAAAAACAAACAAACCCCAAAACAAAAACCACCCCTCCCCCCACAACTCTATTGAAAATGGTGGAAGGTCAGAATAAAGAAGCCCTGAATACGTTGTGAGCCACCTCAAGTCATTATGTCAGATAGGCAGCCATATAAGTCCTGTAACTAAATAAAATGTTCCCCCCATCCCAAATGCAAATACACCATATGCAATTTTCTTTTTCTTCCCCATCAGCCCTTACATAATTGGAACAACTAACCAGCCTGTTAAGATGACTCCAAACCATGGCCTCCACCTCAGTTTCAGGTAATTACTACAGCAATGGCTATTTAGAATATCTCTTCTATACTGTCAAGGTCATACTCCCCATATTTGGGGAGCATGCACTATATGCAGATTGTTTTCTGGGATGAGGAAGATGTAAAGTTTTTTCTCTTACTCAATATTTTAATCTAGAAAAGAAAACCTAATTTGCTTAGGTTGAGCACTTTCCTTTTTTTGCCATGACCAACGTATCATATTACTTGTAGGATGCTGACTTTTTCCAATAACGTGGAGCCAGCTAATGGCTTCCTGGTGCGCTATTTACGTCGGAAGCTGCTTGAATCTGACAGCGATGTCAATGCCAACCGGGACGAGCTGTTACGTGTGTTGGACTGGGTGCCAAAGCTCTGGTATCACCTCCATACCTTCTTGGAGAAGCATAGCACTTCTGACTTTCTCATTGGTAAGCCTAAGCTTTTATCACCCAGTAAGCTGAAATGAACCTCACCATTACATTGCATCTTATTTCAGACTAATAAAAGAAGGATTAAGACACTGCATGGAAGCTTCGCCTCCCCCATTTGAGTTCCTTGCAGTTAATTTATAGTGAGGGGAAAGTAATATGCATATACACGAGTGACTCTATGTTAATTTTCTCTGTTATTCTTTATTTATTCTTTATTAGAATATTATTTTACATAATCTTTATTTTCTTTAGTCTACATTTTTGGCTGATATTCCTCCATTGGCTAGTAGTTTACCTTCTTCCCTTTACTGTTTTTTTTCCAGGTCCTTGTTTCTTCCTGTCATGCCCAATTGGTATTGAGGATTTCCGAACCTGGTTTATTGATCTATGGAACAATTCAATTATCCCCTACCTTCAGGAAGGAGCAAAGGATGGGATCAAGGTAATTTTCCATGCATCCTTATCTCTTCTAGAAGAACTAGTGATGTGGCTAAAGCCTGCATCAATATGCACATATGTTACTCAGCTACAAGTTGCTATTTCCTTTTACTCTGAATTATTCATAAAATCCTACAGAAAAGCAGTTCCTTCTAATCTTGTCCTCCATTGCCTTGAATATGTTCTAAGCTCTTTGTTTCCCAGTGAAGGAACTGCAAAACTAGGTGCATGTGGTATGTTGCTTGTCCCTAGCAAGTGTCAGTATTCTTTCTCACCCTTCTGTGTTGCAGGTGCATGGGCAGAAAGCTGCTTGGGAGGACCCTGTGGAATGGGTGAGAGACACGTTGCCTTGGCCATCAGCCCAGCAAGACCAATCAAAATTATATCATCTTCCCCCACCCAGTGTGGGGCCCCACAGCATAGTGTCTCCTCCAGAGGAACGGAGTGGCAAGGATTCTACACCCAATTCTCTGGAATCAGATCCCTTGGTATGTTTTCAGCTTGCAAATGAGAATAGTTGCTACTGATTCTTTGCACAAGAGAATTAAATTGAGAGCTCAGAATCATCCAATCTGGGTTGGTCACAAGAGAGAGAGAGAGAGAGAGACTTCCCTGAAGATGGGGGCTCCAGCCCGACTCTGAAAGCTTGGAAGACAAAACCTCTCATCCCAGTGACCGACCCAGATTGGATCCTACAACATTATCCTGGGACACGTATATCTGCCTTCGTTTGCTCAGAATTAAGTTCCTGAATTAGTATCCCAGTTCTTGTCACTAATGGAAAGATCTATTAATTTTTTTCAAACACCATAGATTACAGGAATAGAAAAGTTATTCTCATCAATTTTCATTTTGTCAAAAATTGACAGCCCTTGCTAATTTGTTAGCTTAATTACTCTATGACTGGAGGCAATTGTAAAGTTGTCAGAGTGGCTGTTTCTCCATTATGTCCCTCTCTGTTTTAGAAACCCTGTTTCTCCTTCCCCTCATGTCTTATATCTGAAATAACACTAGAGCAATAGACTGAATGTGCAAGTTAACATGGGAAAGATAAATCTCTGTTCTCCTCTTCCATATAATCAAGACTGCATTGTTGACCTCTTCAGAAAGCATAATGACCTTCACAAAAGACAAAGCCTAAGTGATTGTGCTATGGCATTGTCATTATATGGCCACAAGGTGGCAAAGATGTGTAAGTCAAAGAAAGCACCACATACCAACTGAGAAAACTACATGGAATACTTATGTATATAATGATTGATGAGTTACGGATGATATAGGACAGAATCACATATAGTCCTTTGTTGACCCAAACATAAATTGATGGTAGCAAGTGATTGTGAGATAAAGATCCTGGAAGTGATTGCGCCTATAAAAAGGATATAAAATGTAAGATCCTGACAGAGTAGTACACATACAGAAATTATAATGGATGAGTGATATTAGAGGGAGTCCCAAATTCTGGACTTGGAACAGACAATATGTTTCTTCTGTTTTAGTTAGCCTGTCTTCACTGACCACATTTGCTCTTATCTTAATTCCATAAAAAATATTAATGGGGTTGCAAAGCGGTGTCAGCCCCTTCTCACATCCCTTTCAGATTCAAAGTGTCACAGTATGTATTCTTACCTGAATAAAAATAAAATACCAGATACATAGTATAATTGCAAATAAGGCTGGTAGATTATGAAACAAATTTGTATTATGCAAATATCTGTGTAAATTGTCTTCGACTTCCTCTTTGTATAACTGTACATGTTTTCCATTTTCTTAGCTCCCCTCTTATCCAAAGCACAGATGAAAAATGTATATGATTTTAAATAATCACAGTTATTCCTTCCTTTCTGTGGTAATCTTGGTACCCTATATATTCATTGTAGCAGATTATTTTCAATCTGAAGTACATCTGTTGAGTTATATCTGCACCTACCTGCCTTACTTCTGCTGCTTTCCAGGTGTATTGTAACACTGACTCCCATAATTCTCAGCCACTGTTGAAAAGAAGGGGAGCCTCAATACACAAGAAGGCATCAAGCTAAGAAAAATTGGTATATTTAATCATTACTTATCAGTCTTTCATCCTACTTATACAGATGGCAATGTTGCTGAAGCTCCAGGAAGCAGCCAACTACATTGAGTCTCCTGACCGAGAAACATTGGACCCCAATGTGCAGTCTGCACTCTAAAAATAACTGGATTACAATGGAATGGAGACAAATGAGCCAATCTTGGTTGTCTTCGCTCCTAGGCCTTCTTTCTTTTTTCTCTGGAACCTGTGGTCTGGATAAACACCACAGAGTGCCCATCACTTCCTTTGGGATCTGTGCAGGTGAACAGTGAAAGAGGAGACAGTTGGGTCTCCTTTGCAAGATACTGCTCTCCCTTCACCTCCAATAACTCTGGTGATAAGAGAATGGTGGGTTTTATTCTTGGGCTTTCTGCCTCTGTCATAAACTCCTGGTTTTACAGTATAATTGGGGAGATCAAGAAATCCCACACATCCAGTGTTCCCAACATAAATGTTCTTGTGTAAGGCAAGAGACTGGAGATAGCCACACAGAGCTGGCTGCTGTATTTCTGCAGGGGCAGTGCTAACAGACAGGGCAATAGCAAAGTCTGTGGAGCCCTAAAATGAGGATTTTTTTTTTATAAAATAAAGAAAAGCAAACCCCAGAAATCATGAGAGTGGAAGCGTCATTGCTGCTCTTGGAGCCGTTTCCTGCAGTTGCTGCCCTTCGACTTTCTTGCCACAATCAACATAGGCAAAGACCTAGTAAGACTGTTAACACTTGTCTTTGTACCCTCCTTATTTAATCTGCATGAAGGTCTTTTTTACTTTCAAACTCCCAATAAACACTTTTCTCCTCCACTTTATTTTATTTGGTTGATCTGGGCCATGCTGTTTGCTCTTCAGTTCTAGGAATTATGTTCTGTGTTTAGTCATCTCTCCTTTTGGTTCCATAGGAAGGAGCCTCCTGAGTTAATAGTGTTTTCAGTTTCAGTTTACCTTTTTCTTGTTATACTTTTCTATGAATTTCACTCCCACAATCCCTCCAACTGAAATTGGTGCTGACTGGATTACTTCCAGTAACTTAAATCCACTTCCTGGATCCTTGCAGCTTGCATCAGATGCACACAGAGTTGAATCAGCAGCACAACCTATGCACAATTTGCATGTGGGTTCCCCTTCTTGTGCCATTCCATGTCATTTCTTTCTGAAAAGCACAAGAGGTCAGAAAACTGTGATCAAAGGGACAATGGATTGTTGTAGTGCATCTCTTAATGGACAGCAACATTATCACTTTTTCCAGTTTTGTACGGTTTATCAATGTGCTTGCAAATCTCTTTTTTTTTCCCATTCATTTTCTCTCACATTATTTTGGGGACACAGGGTAATAGATCCTTTTTATAGGAGCTGTCTTGAGTCTGTTGCCATTCAGATGTGCTGGAACTCAACTCTACTAATCTTCAGTCAGCACAGTCCTGCTGGCTGAGGATTACAAAACTTGGGAAAAAATACATCTGGAAAGTAACAGTTTAAGCAATGCTGAATATATACCTTTAAACATTTAGCCTTGCATGTCATTTATATGATTTGCCAAACAAATAGCCATCAATACACAAGTATTCCCCTAACTAGTTGATTTTGATTGCAACTCCAATCAGTCTTGACATTGATCTCTATCAGGCATTAAGTTTGGGACAACTGAAGAGCAATCTCATATGAAGCGACCCTCCCCTCCCCCAGGATTTATAATATACTTAAGGAACTCTTTAGACTAGCTATATAAATCTTCTGATCACAGAATTTGTCTCAAGAAAATGTCAGAGTAGTTTCTATTGATATTGATGTGTTTTACATTTAAAATTGAAATTTTAGATGTCAAGCCAGCACTTGGCCTCTAATGTTCTATAAATGTCCTATCAATGTTCTTTGAGGCACATTTGCCAACTTCTAGATTATAGGAGGAGTCAGTGCACTCCACAGCCATAAGCTTTTGCAGCCTTTAGGTTTGATCAAATAAAATACGTCTGAATTTTAGCTTCTGCGATAGGAAGACATAATGATTAAGTTCTCCATAATGCACATCTCTGCTTTTTCAGTAGTGCCATGCAGACATATGAAGAGATACAGTACCTTGTTGAAAGCTTGGGTAAAGGCATCTCTCCAGTGCAAAACCACTCAATGCAATTCCCCATTTTTGAACAGCAGTATGGCTGTTTTACTGGATAGATCTTCTGTGCATGCAAAACTCTTTGAAATCAGAGCAAAATGATTTCTTGAGGCAATTCAGCCTCACTTTAATCTCATGGCAGAGTGCCTCATTGAGGAAATGGAGCCCAAACAATCCACAGCAGACTGTTTTTTAATCTAAGCACTACATCTGTTTAGTTCTTATTCCAGCCGAGCATGTGAGAGGAGACAACCAAAAAGTGTCAAATTTCTTACCTCGGTTCTTTCACAATTTTTTTCTTCCATCGGCTAAAATTTTAGTAGTAGAACATATTCACCCAGAGGCATCTGCAGCAGTGCTTTTGTCAAACCGACTAAATGAGCATTGTATCATTGTGATGCCAGCTCTATTCCTTTTGTTTGTACACGAGGCCTCACAACATATTTACAAAACAGACACAATGGCGTGGTGCTCATTTAGTCATCTCCCCCTCCACTGCCAATGCCCCTGTGCTAAATCTATCATCTTCTCATGGCTCCTGTCGCTGCCTCTTGCTTTCTCTCATGGTGAAGCCTGTTGGGTTTATACTGGCAAATCAGTTACAAGGCCTATAGATAGATTGTGCCAAATACCTTTGGCCTTATATAGTTCTGAGCATTCAGGTGATATTGCCCAGATTTTCAGTATTTTCTCTTTTTAAAAATGTGTTTTTAGGAAGTGAGAAGGAACATTTTCCTACTTCATATGCTACATTTTGCACTTACCTAGTCCTTATATAGAATGTATTTATAGTGTCTTTTTTCTTAATGATCTTGCTATAAAGGAATCTTGTGAAGTCAGTGCTGGTTTATTTTCCTCTTATGTAAGTGTAATATAACAATTCAGGACACACTTAAAAGGTTACAGTGGAGAATTCATTTTTATTTATTGTACTAGATAACCATCCAAATTCTTTTATAGCATATACAATTCCTTCCTCATCTTATCCCATTGTTCTGTAGCCATTGAGGATGCCTAGTTTTCACTGGACTGCTTTAGAACATAGATTGTTCCTTTAGTCTCTCCCCCCACCCCCATTTCATTTTGAACAATTTGTCCTTCTTAGGCATGGGTTAGGGGCCCAATTTGGAGAAAAAAAATACTTAATAGGATATAAGTAAAGATAATGATCATTGTAAAGAGCATACTCTCGAGCTGTGGTCACATGCCAACAAGGAGCAACACAAGACCTATCTAAGTATGCCTATAGCCTATTTCTCTGTCTAAAACTGCTTTAACCCCTCCTTAACTAAGCAGAAATGTAAGCTAGAAGGATTTGTATTTTTGATCTAATGAATGCTTGCCAAGAATACTGACCATTTGGATAAAAATTAGTAACAAAAAATAATATTACTGATGGAAGGATCGAATTTTGCACTGCTTTCCCTGAGCCAAGGGTATGAAATGAAATGAACAATATAATGTGTAAGAAGTACAAAATTAATGTTTTCTTGGCTTCCTATATTTTTGTAGAGCTTTTTCATTCACCATTTTCTCTATTTTATTATCAATGAAGTCTTTTTGTAACCCTCCATCTGTTTAACATAGATTTTAATTGTAAACAACATAGGATCCAAAGTGGTCTTGATCAACAAAGTTAGATAACTGTGCAAACTTTCCACACTTGTCTCCAAGATTTTTATAATTTACCTAGCTTGAGAGTTATAGTTTAACACATCTGCATGGCACTAGTGGAAGATGGCTTTTACAAGGATCTTCAGGAGACAATAGTGATTTCCATTCATAAATGTTACATAGTTTCAGGTTTTTTGAGGTCTCCGTGCCTCTTATTTCCTTCAAGCAGAATGTATTTTGTTAAGATGAAACTATCCACTTTGTAGCCTAGAACTATCAGTCTTTATAGCAGCAATGACTGAGGAAAACTTCTTTATGATGATCTGTTCATAATATGAATCTATCCTTCTCTTTACATGAATAAAGTCAGATGGAATAGATTAGAAACCAAGCAAGTTATGAATTATGAACCAGAACCCATCCCAATGTAGAAGGAGGTAAAGGGGACTGCTTAGCCACTATGGATTGGTATACTATAATGTCAGAAGGACTGATAGTTCAGATTAATTAATCTTTTGTATGTGGAAAAGCTCTTGTGCTTTCAGATGAATCTGTGCTGCTATGAAATTGTCATTATCTGAACAAAAATGCAGTTTAATAACTGGGCTGTGAAGTTGCTCATGATCCTGAAACTCTGTCTTAATATTACCACTTCAAGGGAGGAGGATCTAGCCATGGATTAACAGATCTTACTCTTTTCTGACTACTAAAAGAAGGCTGGGGTAATCTTTTAAATCCAGGCTAGACCAAATAGCTGAATAGTTTAGTTCAGCATAAAGAGCCTAAGGAAGGAAGGGTAACATCCAATGCCTATTGACTATGTTGCTTGGAACTGCTTAGAACAGTCATGTCAAACTCGCAACGTCACGTGATGTCGCGCAACGTATCGGGCCAGTTTTGCCATTGCCGGCAATGGGGCAGGCGTGGCTTCCACGTGACACGTCCGGCCCTCTGGCCAGCAGTTTGACACCCCTGGCTTAGAAGATTGACTGACTAATTAAACCAGCAGCTGCCTTTCATTCTGAAACACCTAAACCTAATGAACAAAATTATTCTCCTATCCCTGCATCAACTACCTTGTATTGGACAATATAAGTCCTAGCCAAAAACCAGCTCTTCTTCTGAAAGCAAAGGTTTCTGTTAATAAATTGAATTCCTGTGTTGCTCACTTACTCCTTTTGCTGGAATAAGCAATGCCACTCAAAGGAGTTTTACTTCATTCTATTGAATTTACTTATCTAGCCAAAATCTGCCCAGAGCAATTTTTAGAAACTGGAACTGCCTTTCCCAACTTGGTGTCCTGAGATATTTGGACTGGAACTTTCAGTTATCAAATGCAACAGGAGATAATGAAAGCTGTGTTCTAGCATATATTAGAGGATATCTGACTGGGAGGAAGGCAATAAAAATGCAAGCAAAGAAGATGTTGCCACTTTTGAAAGCTAAAGTCAAAGTTTATTACTTTAGACCTTTAAGACAAGACAGTAAAAAATAAGCATTTTATTCAACTAAGAGTTGGCCCATTCAGAATTTCATAACTAGCCATAAAATAGTTTGACCTTGCTTTCAAAGGATTAGGGGCCATTTGTCTGGGTGATTTTTCAACAGAGCTGCCATTCTAAAAATAGTAACCAAAAAGAAAACTGAGAAAGGAAAAACAAAAGTTTTAGATTGAAGACAGCAGGTCTTCTCTCTATTGACTTGGCCATCTATTCAGATGATCAGCCTGAGATGAATTTGGTGGCTAAAAGCAAATTATAGGAAATGTGTTGAAACATGGATGGAAAACAGCCCCTCTCCCCATGCCATTTCCATTTTGGATGCTAGATATTTTCATTAATATTTTGTAATATTATTCATATAATATTTATTAAAAATTTGTATTTTCAACATTTCCTTCAGATTCCAGTTTTGCTGAATACAGTTAAATACCTACATCCCAGTACTGCAGGTCTTATGAATGTAAAGACATCAGGCACATGACAAATAAAAGAAATTTAATTAATTGGTAAATTTAATTAATTGGTAAATGCAAGTCAAGATGCAGTGATAGTGATTCAAAATAATTGCCAATTCAAATAGTCACTTTTTTTTAACAAACAGTTAAAAACAAGGCTCTCTAGCCAATTACAGTTTCAAGCTAGCTATCCTATTGTAAAAATGCTAGTGCAGGGGTCTTCAAACTTGGCCCTTTTATGACTTGTGGACTTCAACTCCCAGAATTCCTCAGCCAGGCACGCCTTGCTGAGGAATTCTGGGGATTGAAGTCCACAAGTCATAAAAGGGCCAAGTTTGAAGACCCCTGTGCTAGTACTTCCTATTTGACTGATTGCAGATGAAATTACAGAATCTCTCACCACTCAACTGTCAATAGTGACAGTAAACCATTTCCTGAAGAAGAATGTCAGGCAATGGTAGTTGCCAGTCATAATATCAACTAAATAATTCATAATATTGCTATCCAAAAAGTGTATCAAGGAATCTTAAAAGTCAAAGAGGCCTTTTGGTTGTTAGAAAAATGTAGTGTAATGTATTTCCCCTTACTTTCCATTGGTAGCAAATTGCATAGCAACTCTATCATTCAAATACTTCTGTATTCATTGATTTTTAATGGGTGGATCATCTAACACTCTAGTGGGAGTTTATGATTGATTTTCTCATGCAAATCCAAGGTGCTCATTTATCTTTGTATAACTATACATATGTACATATTTTGTTTTATGTAACTGATGCTTTGGAAATATTAATTTGCTTTGGAACCCAATGGATGACTTAATAGATTTAAGTTATGACAAAAGGTGCACCCAGACTGGTTTAAAGAAAACTGTTGCATAGAAAATGAAAATCTAACTAGACTGAATCTTTAATGTCCTGGTTTAATTGTCTGCAACAGCATAGGTGCTATATATGTAACATTTTTGCCAATGATTTTAAACTTATGTAAGAACTGCACAATCCTTCTGTGCAGCTGATGTGAATGTGAATATTCTATCTCAGAGAAGTCTCCTCGCTCAAAATCCATACAAATTGCTGGTGACAGGGTCAAGAGATTATGTGTTTGCACATTTTGTCTTCCTTCATTTTTCTTTCCAGCCAAATTTATGCAAATGGGAGAGACATAATTATAACTTTCCAAAACCTCCATACTTGGACACCTTTTTCAAGAAAGTGCTGTAAAATATAAGACCTGAGGTCCTCCACTCCACTAGGGTGATAATATTTTTATTCCTTGTTAGGACTTTTCAGGCTTTAATTGGCTTTAGGAATTGAAAACATAAAATAAGCCTCCACAATTCTTAGCTTATGTACAAGAGAAGCAAAACATCTTACAGTGTCATCTGTTCAGTCATTTAGTAGGCAATGCAAGTTTTTCTAGTCCTTCTGTATTAGTGTAGCATTCTCCAGAACCTCCAAATTCCTACAAAGGCTATGCAGTTTTTCTCCAATCTGATTAGTTGGAAATGGAAGTGTCAGGCAGGTAGATTTTTCTAGACCTCATATTTGTTAAAGTTTCTATTTCAGACCTCTTTCTTCTTTAGCACTAGGGTGATGTCAGTAGTAGCAGAGAATCTCAGTGGTCCCACTACAGCAGACATGTCAAACTTGTGACATCACATGACGTCGAGCAACGTATCGGAGCTTTTTCTCCATTGCCAGCAATGGGGTGGGCACGGCTTCCAGATAACGCATCCGGCCCACAGGCCGGCAGTTTGACACCCCTGCACAGCAGGTTGCCTGGATCATTTATAATCCTAGTGGTGGTTCTTGTCAGTTATATCTAGAGCTACTTTAAAGCTTGAAGTCCTATTTAACCCCTTTCTCCAAAAAGCAATAACTTGAAAGAACGTCACTGACTTTTTAAAAAAGATAAAAGGACAACTACCTGTGATGCAAATACTGATTTGTATTACAATCCCCAGAGACTAGAATTACATCTGGAACTGTCCCTTTCAATTAGTGAGTTGTCTTTTACTAAATCCACTTTTAACTGAAGCAGTACTGCAAAGTAAAAGTACAGCCACTATCTTAAAAGTATAGCTGGCTCTGTAGGGGACTAAAACCAAATTCATAAATCACTAATACAAAAGTACTTCTAACAATCTGCTTCTCCAGTTAACCATGTGGAGGCTCTTCCTTGCATCCTGATCTTATGCTTACTCAGATGCAATTTAAACAAGACTTACATTTTCAAGTAAATACGCTTAAGGTGCTTTAGGTAATTGACAAAATGTATTAAATCAGCCTGATGGAGGCATTTTCTAGTCTTTTGCTCTCTTTCCCTTTAGGATATATTCTGTTTCACATCTGGTGTTTCCTCCTTCTCCCAATTTGTGCACATGTTCCTTTTTCTCATCTTTTTGGAAAGTTTCTTGCTGAGCACTATTCACCAATCTCAAGCACCTGTTGCATTGGGGCTATTTTGCACAGTGATGTACAAAATATCAAACCTTGTGCTTGGTTTGACATTTCCTCATTTGCCTTTTTCCCCCTTGTTTCATTTTTGTAGAATAAGAATATGTTGTAAATAACCTGTAACTGAATGGCCTGAATGAGTCTGAGGAACCAGTCTTGGGACCTGAGTCCTGTGTCTGTGATACACCATACTGAGTTTTTTATTTGTTTGGCTTTTTTAAAAACAATATGTAAGTAACTGTGATTTGCTGACTCATTTCTGATTGTACATGTACACCTCCCAGCAGCTGCTGTGGTCAATGGAAGAAATTTGTGGAGCAAAATTTTAAAATGCCTTCTTCCATAGGAACTCGGCCTTTCATATTTCTTGTGCTGCTTTCTCTGCATTAGCTCACTCTTTTCACTATGTTGGCAGGTGTGGGTTTCCTGGAACAAAGTTAATGAAAACTAGATTAAAAAGCTTAACAGACTCTTCCCAGCTAATCTCTCTGGTCTAGTGCTATTATAATGGAATCCCATGATAAAAAGTAACTTTTGATTAAGTCCCAGATTAAATGGGCATGAAGTGGTAAAACTTGATCTTTGCATGAGAACTGATGCATTATCTTGATTCCAGTAAGAGATTACAATCTTCTGGAATTGGGATAATTCACAATCTAATACAGATGCTCCATAGTGTCATTAATCAAGAATTTTCAATGTACATATATTCTGTTTTCTATTTTATATGTTTGATGAATTTATTCAGTGGAACACTTTGCAACCAGGACATTTTGTTTATAAGAGTAGTGTGTTATAATATGCTATTCAGGTAACAATACCCTAAGGATAAAATTAGTGCCTCTCTTAGAGAGTTACTGATTTGTACATTGGAAGTGTATAAATGGTTGAAACAACTTATTGATTAATGTTGAGTTTAATCTTCCATTTAATAAAGAAAATAAATCACAGGGCAGTTCAGGCCAAAATCAGTTCCTTCCAAGTACTGATAACCTTCAGTTCCGCTAGTGAACATGATGCCTATGGGCTACTGGAATCCAATAGGCAGAGGGTCAACTAAGACCCTTTTTCTATGTCCTTGTGCTTTTTAAATTATGGCTGAGGATGTGATTCTGATGATACTTTAACTTACAAAATGATTTAATAGTATTAATAGTATCATAGTGCAGATCATAGTGGGACAACATAGTGGACATAGTGTAGTAATAGTGTACAACACTGGTACATTGAGTAGACATTCAGAAGAGTGAGAGAAACCTCAAAGGAAAGTGGAGCTGAACAGACTATAGACAGCTGTTATGTTTCCTTCTGTGAGTTTTTCCATTGATAAGTGACCTGGCCAACATACATTAACAAGTTCTGATTATAGCCCCCAAATGCTGGTTTTCCCAAAAGTAAAAATAAGCAGGAATAATCTGTACTTATTAGAAATTGTAATTTAAAGCAGGATAGTAATCACAGTTTATTCAAGTTCAATGCACTGAAAAGATGAATCATTATATAATTTATATAATAGATTATCTATTCTAACTTTTTTTTATGGCAGCAACATATTTTCCAGATTATAAAAGGGAGATTCTTCCTAGTTCTGTATTCCTGAGATCCTTTTCAAACTTTTAATAACTGTGAAGGATTGGAACTGACACCTTATTCAAACCAAGCAAATGATCTAACTAAGCTTCTGAAGAGCACTTGCGTTGAGCAGTACAGCACAGTATCTGTGTTCAGCAATACAACTAAAATCTGCTTAATTTCTTCTCTGTAATTTGGTTTTAGCTTTGTATTTCTATTTACCAGATCCCATCACCCCCTTATTAAGCCTGACCCAAAGAGACCAAGCACGAGCCCAGAGAGATCACTGGTTGACAAGCATTGGGATTGACCACCCAGGACAGAGTGGAGCTAGATGCCCAAGTACTGTACTAATTTGAATGCAGTGTTGAAGGAAAGAGAGGCCAGACTGAATGCTATCCTAACTTCATTTCCATTTATTGCAAATTAATTTAAACAAGGGGATCTGGGAATTTCATCCATTTGATCATGAAACTTCAAAGGGCAAAGCTGGATGGTTCCTAGTGGCTCCTAAATAGGAGCATTGGTGCTAAATAGTTGGGGGCTCAGTCCCAGAGAAAGCTAGGTGGAAGCTGTTGGAATAATGATAATTGCACTAATTCATCACTCCATCAGAAAACGTAGCACCTTTCCCTGCCAAAGACCCTTCTGCTCTAGCCAAATCATGAAGATCCTGGCTTGAGGTGAAGCTGGGATAGCACCAAAGTTTAGGGTCTCCTTGGCTTACTAGCTACTGCTGACTGGAGGCTCAACTTTACAATTTTAGCTTTTTTTAAATTAAAATGCATTTTTTTAAAAATTAAAAAAGTGAAAAATATTCTATTTAGGAGAGTTGTGTATTGGCAGAGTTAGTGTTTCTTAACTGCATGGTATTCCTTCTAGGGGGTTTTATACCACTTTTTAAATTTCTCAGATTTATGGTCCCAGTTTCTATGCTATCTTATCTCTTACTTCTTTCTCTTTCTCGCTTTTTGTTTATTATTTGATATGTTCTCTTTCTTTCCTGAAAACTGTTCTTTGTAAACCTGCAATTTCTTTTATACCTGATGTAAACAAAATGAAATAAAAAAATCCAGATGTTGTACATAACTGCAGAAACAATCACAAGGAAACTACTGCCATCTGGACTGTTTCCAACAGAGACTGTTTATACTAATGGTAAAAGAAAGGGGGGTAAAAGCCCCCAAAAGAGAAGCTTTTAAAGCAAAATAAAAATAAAATGTCCAAGCAAAGTATGGTACTTTTCACCAAGTCTCTGCTGAGCTGCTGTGCTGAGTTGTGCAGCATGTTTTTTCTGGGAATACTGGTCTGTCTTAACATCTTTTGACGTTTAAATAAAGTGATCTCCTGTGTTGCCTGCATGTTGATCCTCTCTGTTCAAAGAAATCTTATAACAAACAATTGATGTGTAGTCTCTGTGATCACCAATAACTCCCATTTTATTCTATGGTTGTATTTATATAACATATGGAATTTAGTTACTTTTTAGTATTATGATTTTAATACTTTTTTAGTATTATGATTCATTGGCCTATGTAAACCAAGAAATAGGTTAGCTCAGTAATCAAGTTAAACACATTGCCTGAATTTAGCCAATTACACTAGTTCTCCACTGCACCACCACAGTGCCAGATGTGCTTTCTATCACTATATCCAGGGCTTTTTTTCTCAGAGAACGCCCAGAACGGAGTTCCGGCACCATTTTTGGATGGAACCTTGTAGGGTAGGCAAGGCGGGTTGTATGACGTGTGTGAGTTCTGGTACCTTTTTTTTTTTTTTTTTTTAGAAAAAAAGCACTGACTATATCAATTCATTAAGAAGATGCATCTCTGCCTTGGAATTCTCTAATGTCTTCCACATGTTGAACTTGGGTTAGGCTCGCTGGGTGATGTAACTGAGTTCATGATACCTTTATTAATTTTACCCTCCCCCGATTAGACAGCATAGATTAGAGATCCTCACCTCTGCAGATGCTGATATTAAACTGATTTCCCCATATTGTCCTCTGATATGTGATCTTTTAGTGCCATTTGAGGGGCAGCTTTCTGAGTGATCAGATCTATTTATTGGAGGAAAACATGACAGCTTAGCTTTGGACAGACACTGTTGTGCTCTCAGTCACTTTGCTTGTTGATATCATCATGCCATCAATAGGGACCTGTTTACATTTTGCAAACATTGAGAAATGCTGATTGTGCTTCATACTTTCTCAGTTCTTTAGCTTAGTTGAATCCAAAATCCCTAACCAATGCAAAAGTCATAGTGGTTCAATTTTTACACTGAACAAGGCATAGCAAGCTCATTTAGACATGCTAACTCTAAACCTTGTGCTATGGCTGGATTTGCATGTCATGGTAACCAAATCTAAATAAACCATGTTACTTATTCCAATGCATGAATCCAGCTATAGACCTAGACTAAATTCATACCCTCATAATGATACAAAATATGGTTTGCTTGATTTAAACTGCAAGTACCTAAAGGTGGTACCTCAGTAATATCTTTTTGGTGTGTGTCATTTTGGCCTGAGACTTGGAGATAATTACTGTAACTTTGACTCAGTGTAATTTGTAGAGCCAGACTCTTTGAGATGGACATATTGTATTGGCCACCCACAAACTGGAATCACTTCAATTAGGGAGCAAAGTGGCATCATTTCTGTGCTTAGAGCTCTTGGATGCATAACTACAGTCCTACCTTTGCAGTTCAGCTATAATGAACAAGCTATATAATGTGCATTATCACATATGTGTTAGAACATACAGTGCTAGTGCTCATTCATATAGATTAGTAAGGCAAGAGTGAACAGGACCATCACAGCTGGGTTCAAAAAATCTGGAAGAAACAGAATACTATAACTCTTGGCTGCCACCTATGGATATTTCGGCAACCTGGTTCTGATGACAACTGAAGTAACACAAGCTTTTGACTGTAAAAATCCAATCAATTATTAGATGGAAGCAGTCCAATTTCTGCCACTTTGTGTTCCTAAGGCTGAGTCAAAGGACAGAGGTTAGAAGGCCCCCAAGCATATTTTTGTTTCTGTTCATGTATTTCCTCCCAGTGTTTCTCAGCCTTTGGCTTATTTTCACCAATCACACTGTCGGGGAACATGAGTCCCATCAAGATAGACACAAAAACTTCACTTTTTCAGTATCTTTCAGTATCTTTTCCATGAAAGATACTATTCAATATATTTGGAATTTTGGGTCTTAACAATTCATTCCCTTACAGGCACTGTGCTCAGCCTGGACATACCTCTGTTCCAGTTACTGTGTGTATATCAATGATTCAGGGTCTCCTGGCCATATGAGTCCTCTCCGGATGCTTTGTTCAATCCATGGAAACATATCAAACTTTTGATTGAACATTTGTAAACAATTGTATTTACTATGTAGATTTTGAAGCCACCAGTGTGAAATCTACAAATCAGGCAAGATCACATATTAGCTAATTCAGCTGCTTTTTTCAACTTTTTTTTTTTTTTTTGCTGGCTGGCTGGCATTGTTTTTACTAGAGCACCGTTTTAAAGCCTGCTGCTTTCCAGGTGTGTTAGATTACAGTTCCCAGCATAAGACTTAGAGGAATTTTAATCCAACACATCTGAAAACATCAGACAAAAGACACCTAATATAGATGACCCTAGCTTTTTTTCTGAATCAAAGCTATATGCCAAAAAATCTGAGAAATTTTACTTACACTTCTACATATTTTTACACTGCAGAAGTGATTATGACATTGTTACAACTTAAAAAATCTTTGCGTGTTATTTTTTTATGTAAGAATTACCTTCAAGGGCAAATCAAATATCCATCCAGTCCAGAACATCTGCTCCAAGAGAGGCCAACCTCAAACAAGTTCATATAATTTTAAATTAGCTAACAATTATTACTTGTTCCAACTGTTTGAAATATTGTTTTGAAAAACGTATCATTTTTGGCTGTCATAGTTTAATAATTATTTATGGACTATTCTCTGTGAACTTGCATATTTCATTTTAAAAATCCTTCTGAGTTAATGAGCTCCTGTACTAATGTAATTTAAACATTTAAATCTCCTTTGAGTTGAGTTTGAGTCCTGGTGACTTCATGGACACATTAATGTAATTTTCATAGGACAATAGGGAAGTACCTGTGTCATCTTCTGGAATGATTCAACTTCCCAGTATTCTTAATGGCAGTAATATTTTGTGGCATCTACCAAACAAGTACTCAGTTTTCCTACTTTATTCTTTTCAATTGGATGGCTCTGAATTCAATCTTTAAAAGTAGGAACAAATTCTTTATTTTGTTAACATTGTCCAGTCATGCAGCAATGATACTATGATTATGAGCTCAAGCATATTTCTTTCTATTCAGCAGCAAGGCCAACAGTATTTTATCTGAGTTAAATGAACAGAAGATTGTAGCCTGGATGCATTAGTTGTAAATGACACCCTACATTGCTAACATATATAAATGACTTATTGGTACAGATGGCTTAGATTATATTTTCATCCAGTGGTTAAAACAAATAACCATGGGGTTGACAGAAGCATACTGGCTTTAATTCAACAATATTTGCATCCAAGCCCTGGTGATTTCAGGAAGAAATAACAATACAGAAATGTATCATTTTTCTATTTAGCTCATACATGTCATTTTAATTTATTTTTCAATTTAAATGATTTGTTAGTTTGGCTCGCCACATATAAATAACCATATGTTATGCACCTCTCTTTTGAGAAATGCATATAAGATTACTATAACACTGTCACCAGTATGGCTACACTGACTGAGCCTTCAGATGTTTTCTTCTCTGCAGAGTTCTTTCTTAATAGGCCAGAATAATTAAGTACTGCCTTGTGCCTTATGTGATCTAATCAGCTGTTTTTAATACATTATTTTGGTCACTTGCTTTTCTTCTTTGTGCTCTTAATTCCCTCCTATGATTGCTTACTATCAAATCATGTACATTTCAAAGTTAATGCAAACCATCCTTACTAACAGTAGAGGATACACCCAGGCCTCTTTCTTTTGAAAAATACGCATTGGGTGTTAAAGTCCATTATTTCTGGGAGTAGTTGGGCTTTGAATGTGATTGTATAGTCCTTGACCCTTCTCAGTGATCTCCTGAATCAATCAAAATTTTGGCTGTCCCACACAATGGCTTGATTGCTGTTACTGCATTCTTCCTTGATGGAAACTCTGAAGGTTATTGTTTATTTATTTAATAGTTTTATGTATCCCCACAATTAATCAGACTCTTGGAAGCCAACAGCAGGTTAAGAATAATGTGATCAACTATATTATAAAGAAAATGTTCAAAGCAAATAAACATATCAGAAAATATTGATAACTGTAATAATTAGGACACAACAGCATCATTTAATTCTTCATAAGGCCTCTGATATCTTACCATCTTTTCAGAAACCCAAACATATGGGGGAACTTTGATCTCCACAGAGAAGCCATTCTACAATGCAGGGTACAGCCATTGTAAAATTGCCATTGTGAGCCTTATTTCCCTCACTTCACAAAAATGGGGGACCAAGAACAGTTTTTGATGCATGGATCAGACAGGATGATTGTGGCTGGAGAAAGCAGGCCCTAAACATCTTGGTATCTACCACATGGTTTTTATAGATTTAAAAAGAACAGCCATTTGAATTGTCCCCCCAAAGCCAATAGGAAGCCAGTACAGTGCATGAAGCACCTGAGTGACAGGCTCATGACAACACCAACCAGAAACTCTGTTGATGTATCCAGAACTGTAACTTCTAATTGATTGATACATGTTGATTCTTGGTAACTACATTAATAGATTTTCTCCATAATCTGTCCTTAACCTGTTTTTTTCTAGATAACCCTCAAAAGCAGCACTATCTAATCGCCATTCTGTTGATAGTTCTTTTGGTCTCAAGGCTAACACCATGAGACTGAACAGCAAGATCTTATTCTGAATGTCCTCCCTCTGCTTTATAATCAGTGCCATCAGTGTGAAATTTGTCCCATCTGCCTGGGACAAAAACTATTGTGACATGCTAATCAGTGAGCAGGCAGAAGCTTGGAACTATTAAATAGTTTTCCTTTGAAAAGGATGCAAGAGCTGCTGGACAAGAAAAGAAGCAAAGCGGCAATAGTTATTTTCCTATCCTGTAACTTAGGATTCTGATCTACATGAAAGAAATTTCCCTTAATAAAACTGACCCTGATCCATGAAAGTAAAATAAAAATTATGAAAACACTGCATTCTTAATGATAACTAGTAGATAGACTTAAGGGAATTTATTTAAGTTTTTGTTAAGTTTTTGTTTAGTTTCTAGAAGCGCATTTTTAGAACCATGGAACATGTTGCCAATACTATGCTTTTCCAACACTGT